TCATTAGTAGGAAGCTGGATCAGAAGTGGAGCATGTGGGACTTGAACTGGTGTCTACGTGTCCCTTTACCCACTATACCAGTGACAGTCCCTTGATTTCCTCTTATCAAAAATCAGTCCAGGCAGATTAACACACTACCTGTGATGCCAGAATCCTATAATGTTGCTGGTTCAAGACTAGTTGCTTTACTTGCTACCTGCCTGCTCATTCTCCTGCAAAATCAGAGAAGGTGATCCAAGTACTTAGGCCCTTGCTGTCCACTTGGGTTCCAGGTCCCTGGGTCAGACCAGTGCAGCCAGTTAGGGAATGAACCAGCAGATGGAGAATGTCTGTCCCTCCCTGCCTCTATATAACTGCTTTTGCAACAAACAAATGATTTCCTTTTAAAAAAAGGAAGTCAACAGAATATAGTTATAGACTTGTTTCTGATGTCAAGGTTCACTAATCTGCAGGAAGCTTTACCAGGGTGTTGCTCTGAAAGCAACAGTTCCGTATCTCCATCAGCCTGCATATCATGTGAACAAGTAACTTGGACCAGTTACTTATTTAACTTACTCCAAAACATCAACTCACCCATCTATAAAAGGAAATTAGCGAAGAGCTTTTAACTGGTACTTTCTTATCTAGATAACATTTGTGAATGTGGTTTGCAAAACACACCCCATCGGGTGCAATGCAGATTTCAACTTAGCTGTGCAAAGCACCTTCAAAATGTTCATAGAAAAAAAGATGAAATTAATAGATAAGTTTAGTCTAGTGCCCCCCCCTCCCCAATGAGATTCATGCCTAGTTTTTCATACACATTTTCTATGAACTTTTTTGCAGACTCTATATCCTTTCTCTATTTTGGTGGAAAGTTACTTAAGGAATTGTGCATGGGCAAGATTAATGGTTGGCCTAAAACAATAGCTGAGACTTTGACTTTCTAACACCTGCTCCTTAGCACAGCCTATGGAATACACTGCCTGCTTTTCCAAACATCCTGTTGGATGCTTCCCCTGGGTCCTGAGGGGAAGTCCTGCAACTCTTGAGAAAAGCAGCCTGGTAGTGCTCTGACTTCCCGGATGTCTGTTCTGAAATTCTTTCTGTTATCGCCTCTGCCCTCACCACCTGCCCCCTCAGACTCCATTGTGTCCAGGGAGGCATCTTTCTAACCTTCATTTTCTTAGAATATGGAAATAGTTTGCTGTTTCTTTGAACACACACATACCACAGCCCTTGAAGATGCATGAGAGAATCTCTGCACTTGGGGTTGTGAACAGGTGGTAGTCTGGGTCTGCCCGACTCAAGACAGTCCCAAGGGAGAAACGTGCGCAGAGGCCTGGCTTCCAGGCTAAGCAGTATTTCATTGTGTTTGTGCAGTATGTTTCTTTATCCACACACCTTGGCCTCTGTTTGCGAGTACACCACTACATGCGAGAGTGTGGAAAACTTTTAAATGTCCTGGCTCCCTCTTCTGATCCTGCAACCCCTTCCTACGCACCCCGTCTGATGTCTTCACCTACGTGGGAAGGCAGCCTGGACACAGGTGTCTGCGTCTGAACGTCAGGCTGACTCACACTTCTCAGATCACATCAGAACTTAACCCATCACAGAATCAGTAAGCCCCTTTCCCCTACATGCCAGGCTCTGAATTCTTCCCGCCTCCCCTCATCTTCACTGCCACTTCAGGGTTCAAACCCTTCTCCTTTCTTGCTAAACCATGTGGCTTTATTCTTGTTGTTCTCATCTTCTCCTTGGCACTGTAGAGGGATGGTCCTAAAGAATCCCATCTTGCCACTATTATTATATAATTTATATAAATAGATGCAGTGTGAGACAGATAGATGTGCAGATGGACAAAGCTTCCAACCACTGCCTCACTGCCTAAATTGTTGCAAGAGGGCCCAGCATGGTAGCTCAGTGGCTAAAGTCCTCGCCTCCATGAGCCGGGATCCCATTTGGACACCGGTTCTAATCCCGGTGGCCCACCTTCCCATCTAGCTCCCTGCTTGTGGCCTGGGAAAGCAGTTGAGGATGGCCCAAAGCCTTGGGACCCTGCCCTCACATGGGAGACCCAGAAGAGGCTCTAGGCTCCTGGCTTCAGATCGGTTCAGCTCTGGCTGTTGCAGCTGCTTGGGGAGTTGTTTTCCATGGTGGCTGTGCCACCGGACATTCCCAGCCATAGCACACAAGAGCCCTAGTTTCTATAGAGGAGTTATGTGTGCTCTTCTGTCTGCCAGCATCACACGAGGCAGGAGCATGACGTGCTGTGAACACAGGACCTGTGTCTTGGGTGATGAGCAGCTTGTCAGGGGCTTCCGAGCTGGGGAAAGCATGCTGAGAGGTGCTCTTCAGGCAGGTTTATGGGGCCTGGAGGCAGGGGCTAGGTGGGAGAGGGTTGCAGCACCAGGGCTTGTGTGGGAATGTGGGAGAGTCAGGACCTCTGATGTGGAAAGCTGAGAATGCCTGAGCATGAGCGGACCTCCTGAGATTAAAGAGAAAACACTTTGCAGGCAGGAGGTCGGGGTTTGGCCATGCACCACTCACCACTGCCTGTGTGCCGGCACGTGTTGAGTAAGGCTCGTGAGAATCGTGATTTCCCCAGGTCTGGAGCTGAAGACAGACAGAGGCACCTGCCCTTGGGTGAGCCTGTTGCTACTGAAGGAAGATTCTCTGGGGCTGACTACAAGGATGTTTTGTGGGTAGCAGCAGGTGCGCTACCCCCGTAGAAGTTCTAGAGTGTGGCCCCTGGGAGACAGAGTGGGGTGCTTGTACAGAGAGCTAGGGCACCAAATTGGAGAGCAGCCTTTAGCACCTGTGGGAGACAGGAAGGGGGTAAGAGGGGCCAGCCAGGCATCTGAGCAGATCCGAGCTATCTCCGAAGTACTTATCTTGACCTCTAATTTGCATAGTATGTGAAATGCCACCATTTCATCAAATATTCCCAGGAAGGCACCCACGTGGCTGAATTTTCCTGCACTTGCCCTTCACAGGGTCATCATGACCACTGCTGTCCCAGGATGCTTCTGCCTCCCCTTCCGACTCCACCTTTCCTAGACCCCATCACCCCTGGAGCTTTAAGCAGGAGGCAAAAGGATTCCTTAAGTGCTGTCCTTTGTATTGGAAAAAGACTTGACTGTGGGTGTGCCTCCTTGTGTGTGTGTGTGTGTGTGTGTGTGTGAGTGAGAGAGAGAGAGAGAGAGAGAGGGAGAGAGAGACAGAAAAAGAGAGGGTGGGTGGATGCAGTTGCAAGAGAGGTTTAAGTAAATTGTATTTTAAAGAGGTGAAATCAAGGGCTCTAAAATCAGATCTACAAGACATCATTAAAATAATGAGAGGGTGGGGAAGCTGTGCTGAAGAGTTGAGGTCATGACGGTTGAAGCCTAGCGTGGTATGTGGGAAGCCGTGAGCAAGCCACTTCAGCCCTGCATAAAGCTGCACGGGGAACCACCAGCTCCCATGCCTTCTTGGCAGTGCATGCCCCCGTCATGTTGGGTGGATGCTGCGGGTACCACAAAGGTTACAGCCATCCCCGTGGTTAGAGGAATCACTGGGTAGAATTTTCCCCCATTTCCTGGGATTTTTGCCAACAGAGGTCCCTCTCGTGGGACAGATCTGAGCGTCTCGCTGTCTGTATTTTCAGCCGTGTGGGTTTGCGTCTTTGAAAGTTCGTGATCCTTATCACAGTGCTGGGAAAGAGGGTGACTCCTGTGAAAACAAGCCACCCACCCACGCACGTTTTCATCTACAGGTTCAGCTGCCAGCAGCCGTTTGTAACTTCATTGCCACGTGCAGAAGGGTTAGGCTGCTGCCATCAAGGGTCAGGGGCTGGGCAGCCTGGTTCAGTCACACAGGTGCACCCCTAAGGCTGGCCCAGCCAGCATTGTGATACAGGAAACTAAGGAACCACCTGCAACGCTGGCATCCCCTTAAACATTGAGTGCCACCTGCTCCGTTTCGGATGCAGCTCCCTGCTATTGAGCTAGGGAAAGCAGCAGAAGGTAGCCCGGTACCTGGATCTGTGCCACTCGTATGGGAGACCTGGATGAAGCGCCTGGCTCCTGGCTTCAGCCTGGCCCACCTCTAGCCATTGTAGCCATTTAAGGAATGAGTCGGGCACGAACGCTATCTTTGTCTCTCCCTTTCTGTGTCGCTCAGCCTTTCAAATAATAAATAAAACAAAGCTGTAAAAAACAAAATTAAAAAGGAAAAGAGCCCGTTCTCTGAGAAGGGACTGGGAAAAGCCGAAGATGGCCTGGGAAAGCAGAAGATGGCCCAAGTGTTAGGACCCCAGATAGAGGCCCTGGCTGCTGGTGTCGGCCTGATCCACCCTGACTATTGCAGCCATTTGGGGGAGTGAAACAAGTAGAGCTCTCTTTCTCTCTTCTCATCCCTCTTCCAGTCCCTCTTTTTGTCTCTTTGTCTTTCAAGTGAATATATAATTTTTAAAAAGAAAAGAAATAAAGGGGCTAGCCTTGTGGCATCGCATAGTAAGCCGTCACCCGCAGAGTCAGCACCTTCTCTGGGCTCCGGTTCGAGTTCTGGCTGCTCTACTTCCTATCCAGATCCTTACTAATGGCCTGAAAGAGCAGTGGAGGATGACCCAGCCCTTGGCCTCCTGCATCTTCCATCCACTGGTTCACCCCCAAATGGCCACTAAGACCAAGCCAATGCCAGTTTAAAATCAAGATCCAGGAACCTCCATCTGGGTCTCCCACGCAGGTGGCAGCCACCCAAGTAACCGGGCCACCATTTCTACCCTGACGCAGTAACAGGGCGGTCAGGACCGTTGTCTCTGTCACACATGGTGATTCAACCCACTGTGCACAACCTCACTTTTGCTAGTTTTAAGGAGTGCTGTTTTGAGCCTTCTGATAATTATTAGATGTAGAGATTTTATCTTCACCTTTAATAAAAAAAAAAAACACAACTTTTTTTTTTAAAGTATTGGGTGCCAACAAAGCACTCGGCATCCATGAGGAATGTTTACAAGCCATCCTTCATTCTTTCTCCTGCAGGGATCTACCGCACGGAGAGGGACAAAGGCACGCTGTACGAGCTCACCTTCAGAGGGGACCACAAGCATGAGTTCCGACGGCTCGTCCTCTTCCGCCCCTTCGGCCCCATCTTGAAGGTGAAGAAGGAGAAGCTAGACATGGCGCACACGCTCATCAATGTCATCGTGCCGCTGGCCAGGAGGGCCGACAAGTTCCGGCAGTTCATGCAGAACTTCAGGTGGGGGCCAGCCACACGTCTGCCAGGGTCTGACCCTCCCCTGGTCCCAATGTTTACAGCCTAGCTGTCTGCATTCTCCCTGTCTCCTCTGGGACCGCAGCATGCCACCCCATGAGAACTGCAGGAGCTATGGCTGCCCCAGGCAACTGTCACAGCAGGAGACTTGGGCTGCAGACAGGCTGGGTGTAGGTGTGTGATGGAGAAGGTGACTGTGTCTGGGAAGCTGCCCAGAGCTGGCCGGGTGGAGGCGCAGTGTTTTGCTGCACCACACAGGCCTGTCCCTGGCCAGCCTGGGCTTGGTGCTGTCTCTGGTGTAGGGCCACATCGCTGTGTGATGGACCCAGGGGCCTGGATGAACAGGTGCTCCTGGAAATACACAGATCTTCAAAAAGCTCATGGAAAATGTGTTTTAGGGAAAAACTGTAGCTGGATTTGAAAAGTTTGGGCACAGACTTTTAAGTGCATTTTTCCACATATATTTTGAAGTCCCTTGTATAAGTGCGTCTGTTTCCATAGTATCATGAAGAATATAAGTAGTTGTTAAAGACAGGTGGTCGTGAACAAGTATAAAGTATCAATTTTTTTTTTAAAAAGCTAGTAGGGAGATATTGTTGAGGAAATCAGAGTAGTGGCTTATAAGCCGTTCGGGTGAAGATAAGCAAATGAACTGTGCTTCTCTCTCTTTCTCTGACAGTACAGCACTTCTAGGACATTTGTCCTTCACTTTAATATCCGTCTGTATGTTGCTGTGTAGCAGTAAAAAGGGCGGGGTGGGATTTTGGAAGGGATGATTTGTGGGTCAGCCAGTGCGCTGAAGTTGAGGAACACAGCACTGGGGTTGGCGTTTGTCCCATAGCTTAGATGCTGCAGTCTGAGTGTCTTGGTCCTGGTCCCTGCTCTGCTCCCAACTCCAGCTTCCTGCCATGGTGCGCTCTGTCACCCTCACGAGAAACCCAGATGGTATTCCAGGCTCCTGGCTTCAGCCTGGCCCAGCATCAACTGGTAGGCATTTGGGGAGTGAACCAGTGATGGAAGATCTGTCTCCTCTTTCCTCTTTCCCTCTCCCTCTTAAGCAAGAGAGAGAGAGAGAGACAGAGAGAGACAGAGAGAGACAGAGAGAGACAGAGAGAGAAGGGAAAGGAAGGGAGGGGAAGGGAAGGGAAGGGAGAAGAATCAAGGAAAGAAGGAACGAGAAAGGAAGGAAGGAATAGACACAGCCCCCACCTCTGTGGAAGGTGCAGACTGCTAACACAGAACCAGAAGCTGAGCTGAGACACGGACAGGCGAGAGGGCCTGTGAGAGCCTCCTGCTCAGTAGGCACAGCGTTCGTGGGCGGAGAGAGGGCGCGGAGGGTGTGAACCGAGTAAATGACGGGAAAAGAAAACAGGGTCTTAGTTCACACCTAAAACCCCAGGTATTGTCAGTCCATTAACTATTTAAGCACAATTAATACCACTGTAAAATTACTGGGAAGAAACCAGGAGGCTGTTTAATTCGATGTTATCTTTATGAAGTCTTTTTCCTCACAAGATTTGCATGAAGATGAAGCCATGGATGCTGAAGGTGACATCAGGTGTGACTTTTATATCCGTCTTTATCTCTGCTCTCCAAACTTCTACAGACCTACTGTACATTTTATAGTTTAACAACTCAGTGAGAGATTAATTTTGCCTTTCACAATTAGGCATAGCTTTTTAGTTGGGGAGGTGACACTATGCTGTGTAACCAAGGTAGAACAGCATGAAGAAATTGATTTAAAACCCAATCTGAGTGCCACCGATTGGATGCAGCTATCATTAACATTAGGCGACACCATTCTAGGCTCCTTGTAAACTAAATTATTCCTTTGCCTAGCTAGGAATAATTCAGTGCAAAATGAGATGTGCTCTGCATTCTGTTTCTAATTAAAGAATGTATCTGACATTATGAAGACAGGTTTCCCTGTCCCACGTAGCATTGGCTGGCCTTGCGTCTCAACTCCAGCCCCTGCCTACTGCTTCTTGCCGGCACACACCATGAAGGGCTGCAGCAATGGCTTAAGCGGAAATGTGGGTGGAGTTGCCAGTTCCCTCTGTGGACACCTGGGAGGTGAACCAGCAGATACGGGCCAGCCATGGTCCTGCGTTGAGGGCAGAATTCCTGAGTTCCTCCCAGGCAGCTCTCAGCAGCTCAGCCACTTCCATACCTCCGGCATGATCTCCAGGCGTCAGTAAGCTGTGGATGACTACAATGAAATGCCCAATGCAAGCTGCTTAGGAAAGAGGGAGGCGTTTGTTTAATGCAGTTTGGGAGTCAAAAGTCCAGAGAACATCCCAGGTGATGGCCAGAAGTATATAGACCACATGGGGGGCCAAAAAGCAGGGAGGAGGAGTGGGGACCTGTCTCACAAGCGCTCTGGAGATTGCACAAAATGATCTTTCCAGAAAACCACCCCCAGTGACCTTGACCTAAGGAGGTCCCAAGCAATTGCCATCTCCAAAGGGCTCTGTCTTCTCCCAGTTGCACAGACTGAGAACCAGGCCTTGAACACATGGGCCTTTCCCTAAAGACCAGCGTCCAGGCTGGTATCATCAGACAGTGGCATTCACTTCCAGAGGCTGTCGCTGGAGCCATGACCCACCTGAGGCTAAGCAAGAGTCTGAGTGTGTTTTCCGCTTGATTTCCTTTTTGTGAAGTTTATTTAAGTGGCTGATTAGGTCCCTTTATTAGAAACAAGAATTTTGCCATTTTCTACCATTTGGGAACATGACTTACAATCATGACTTTTTGAGATTAATTTGCCAAGAACATTAGCCATGCAGTGTTGCTGCTCTGAAATGTCATGCCACGTATCCTGATATCCGAGAGCCCACGTGGCTTCACGTAGGTCACTCGCAGCACCTTCCGGAAGGTGGAGGTATTGGTATGGACATGTTGCTCTGTGCTGATTGCTAGAGGGAGTGTCAGGTCCCTTTTCTCCGGCATCATTACTCACATAGAAAAGGCTCACCCGTCTACGCCTTAGGACAAATACATCTTTGTGGACAGAAGGGTTAGACATTGGACATGGCATTCCCTGGAGAAAGCCGACCTGGTCAGGAGACACAAAGGGCCCCCTGGGGAACGTGGGATCTGAGAACGGCTCAGCAGACTGGATGGGCAGGTGGAAGGTGCTGGCCGTGAGCAACAGGGCCTGGCTCCTGGGGACAGAAGTGGCTCCTGGCTGCCCCAAGTACATGGCTAGGATGTTCGTTAGCTTTTTCATTTCCCTCAGTTTATTATCATACAATGATAAGGGATCTTCAACAATTCCATGGCAAATGTATACTATGAAAAGACGTGGCATAGATTTCTAAATGTCTTCTACTTCTAATTCTCTTTCCCAAAGAAGTTAATCTTTTAATTTCCGTAAACTTTTTGAGATGTTCTTGTAGTCATCTCAACAAACCTTAAAGGTTATTCCTATATAAACGAATACAATTTTTGAAGATGTATTTTATTGAAAGGCAGATTTAGAGAGAGAGAGAGAGAGTGATCTTCCACCTGCCAGTTCACTTCCCAAATGGGTACAAATGGCTAAAGGTAGACTAGTCCAAAGGCAAGAGCCAGGAGCTTCTTCCAGGTCTCCTACATGGGTGAAGGGTCCCAAAGACTTGGGTCATGCTCTCCTGGGCCATAAGAAGGGAGCTCGGTAGGAAGTAGAACACTCATGTCTCAATGAGATGCTGGCACCATAGGCAGAGAATGCTATGGCACTGGCCCAGAAGAATGCAAACTTAACAAATCCAGCTTGGTAAAGCTCAACTCTATGACCATGTGGAAAAGGGGACGGACGTACCTGGAAAGTGGGACTTGCAGAAATCATCAAACCCCATCAGAAACATCGGGCCTTACAATAGTCAGAGATGAGGGCACAGCAAAGGTGACCTCCTCTTCGTCTCTTACTATGAAAGGGAAGGCAGCCTGTTTGCGCTTGGAGGAGACAAGCTGCACCGTCTCCTAGACACGAAGGCTCTCTGTCTCCGTCTGTTCTTTGGACCAGTCCCACAACAGCAGGAGTTCGCTCCTGGGAGTACTCACTTAGTTCCCTGAGAGAGCCATTCATCCAGCGAGAGGGCAGAGCCCACCCCCTCTCTCAGTACTGTTCTCTTGGGAATTGCATTTCAGCATGGGGATGAATGCTATTCAGACCACGCAGGGCCTGCCATTAGGAGCCGGTCCATAGTAAATGATGGGCCTGAATTTACAAGGAATCAAGATACCGGCACTTGAATATCATCATCTCCCTGAGTAAGAATCACAAATCGCACTGCCCTCCTGGAGGGGATGCAGCTGGCTCTGCTCCTGGTACAGAGGGCCTCCTAAGCATTGTGAGACTGTGAAGATTGGGTTACTGGCCACTTGAACATGCGCACTCTGCCCTGGCTGTCACTGCCATAGCTCACAGGGGAACCTCAGGAGCCTCTCGTGACATTTCCTCTCCCCAGAATGTCCCACAAACTTCTCTTAGGCCCCGCAGACTCTTGTGATTGGGAAGAGGGAAAGTTCCCGTGAGGCCCTTATTGCAGTCCAGGAATACACAGGGAAACTTGCATGAGTTCGTGAACGTGAACAATACGTTTCCCTGGATGTAAAACTTTTCAAAATGCATTCATTTTCCCCCATAACCAGCATTTTCCACTGACTTGTGCAAGACTCCTGCCAGGGATAGATTTTGATTTTGTTTTTTCACACCAAAATAAACTTTGCCTCCTCTCTGTCTCTCCTCCTCTCTGTATATCTGCCTTTTCAATAAAATAAATCTTTAAAAAAAACAAAAAGCTTTGCTTTCCATTCCCCACCAAGCTTTCCCGGTGTTCTTGTGTGGGCCGAGCCCCACCTGCTCATGCTCTTTCACATCACCTCATTTTGCCTTGGAAACCATCCTCACATTCGGGTTTTTTGGCTGCTTATTTTCTCGTGGCTTCCAAGTTCCTGCTTTCAGGCGCATCTGTTCTTTGATTGTGTGCTGTTGGCGAGGGACGGACAAACCTCTATTACAAAGCTATCCATCTTTGGGTCTTTATCTCTCGGTCTCTTCCAGGGTGGGGCACGGGGAGGGAAGGGGGGCGGATTTTTACGGAAAATGTTCTTCGTGGCTTTACAAAACTCTTCCTCAGTTCATTGCAAGTTAGCGCAGCTCCTGTTTTGACAACTTCCCTCTGGACGGGGAACCAGCCCCTTCAGATGTGCCTGGATGTTTGCTAGAATGTTCTCTGCTGTTTCTTCTTTGACTCTTCTCTCTTCACCTGCCCAGGCTTTCAGGAGATTTTCACGCAGTGTCTGGGAAATCTCAGACTTGTGTTTCGTTGACTTCTATTCCTGTTTGTCTTAGAACCTTGAAGATGATTCCGGATACTTTTGAGAATATTTTTGAAGCAGTGACTGAAGGATCTTGGGAACTGAAATGAGTCTGGAACGGGGCAGGGAGGCTGGGGTCTGTTGGTGACAGAAGTCTAGATTAGACAGAAAGAAGTTCTTGGTTATCTCTGAGCTCCCCAAAGAGAGAGCAACCTGTGGCGCGTGGCACAGTCCCTCTTCCATTCCCCTCAAACCCTTCTACCCCAACCTGGGCCGCTTCTCCGTTCCCACGCCAGTGATGTGACAAGGGGAGTGTAGGACTGACACACGTGAAAGATGTCCACCCTTGGCATTCACCCCACGTGAAGGAGAGCTCCCTGTTGGGGTTGAGAAGAAGAAGCTGGCGTCCCCTTCACTGGACTCACAGGCCGTGTGGAAACAACTCCCCTGGGGAGAGAGAGCTCCCTGGAACATGATCTTGAATCGAGCAGATTTGGAAAGCTGATCTCAATGGCTTCTTTCTTCCTTAGAGAGAAGGAGAGAAGGAATCTTCCACTGACCTGGTTCACTCCCTAAATGCCAGGAACAACTGCGATAGAGGCAGCCCAAAGTCATGAGTCAGGAATTCAATCCAGGTTTTTACACATGTGTGGCGGGATGCCCAGGCCATTGCCCGATGCCCCTCTGGGGAGCACACAATAGCAGGAAGCCACACAGGAAGCCGAGGTGGCCTCAAGCCCCCAGGCTCTAGGATACAGCATACAGACATTCTAAAGAGTGGCTTAGGCTCGATGCCAAATGTCTGCCTCTCGATGTGGATCACGTTACTCAAAGAGTAGAAGACTCTCCTACCAGTTGTGTGTCTTCTGTACTCCGGGAGCTTCTTACGGAAGTGAGAACTCACTGCTCTTTCCTTGGCCTGGGGCAGGTTAGGCCTATGATTCTTTGCATCTGAGTTTTGATTGCCCAGAACTGCACATCTGCACGACCTTGCTTACCTGATGCTCTGTGATGAAGCAACAGCAGCCCCATCTTGGGTCTCCATCCCGGTGTCCTACAACGCCCCTTTGGTACATGGCAGCAAAGGTACGTGTGAAAACAGGAGGCCGATGGCCGTGTGGCTTCTCTTGCAGGGAGATGTGCATCCAGCAGGATGGGCGGATTCATCTCACCGTTGTTTACTTTGGGAAAGAAGAAATGAATGAAGTTAAAGGAATACTTGAAAACACTTCCAGGTGAGTCCAACGTGGGAGCTGGCACAAAGCAGTGCGTCATGGTCATGGAGCTCAGGAGAAGATGTACCCAGGGCAGAGACCTCCACGTGGGTTGGCTTTCCTTAATGCTATGGGCAGATGGAGTTGGGGGGAGGCTGACTTTTGCCCACCTTTGAAAAACGGAGCCTATGGCCCTAATATCCAGTGATAGAAGCAGGCTTCTGCCCCCTTGGGAAGCATCTAGGTGGGACAGAAGTTGGAGTATGGGCAAGAAAAGGGGGTGTTGCTGGACACTGCGGCCTACAAGGCTCAGCTGATGGCTGAATGGCACTGTTTTTCTAGAATTGACACTTGGAGCCCTTTGCCTGGCTTCCTCTCCGGGCATGCCAGGGGAGATGCTAGGTAAATCTCTTCCGAGGTCAGTTTATGCTTTTCAGCGTCACAGATAATTTCTCTGGAGAAGACAGCGCCATCTGCAGCATGGGAGGAGAAATAGCAAACCAGAAATTGTAGTTGGTGCCAGAGCCTTCCTGGGCATGCCTGATACCTTCTCTCCCACGCGAGTTTTTAGCGAATAAGCATGGTGACTTGTGTAGCAGCTGGGGGCCCTAGCCATGACTTTTTTCTGCGATGCAAGCGTCAGTGAATGACTCTGCCTGCCTGCTGTTCCCTCCCAGAGCCGCCAACTTCAGGAACTTCACCTTTATCCAGCTGAACGGAGAGTTCTCCCGGGGCAAGGGCCTGGACGTGGGTGCCCGCTTCTGGAAGGGCAGCAACGTCCTGCTCTTCTTCTGCGATGTCGACATCTACTTCACGTCCGAGTTCCTCAACACGTGCAGGCTGAACACGCAGCCAGGTGACCGTCTGTCCCCAGTGCCCTCTCACAGTGCATCCCAGTAACTCCCCCACTGTCAGCAGCCCGAGTTTATGCCTTCCATTTCTCCTCCGATGCCGCTCCGCCACCTCATCAACCTCCCACCACCTCCTCCTTACTTCCAGGGCCATCTGCCAAGTTCATGTTCCTGGCTCGTTGTCCAAGCTGGGAGGTCACATTGGGTGAATGTTCACAAGAGAAAGCTTTGTGGCCTGGACCTGGGACAGCTGCCCCCAAGTCCTTCTAGAGGAGAGGACTAGGATGCGCTATGGATGGAAAGAACTGGTAGCTTGAGTTAGTTGCACAGCCTGAGCCTGGGGCAGGCCTGGGTTATAGTTGATATGGCCATGGCAGCTCCTGAAACGCAGAAGTTCTGAGCAAATTGATGGGCAGTAGTGACCCTGACCGCTCCTAGGGGACTAGTGCTGCCCAAGACAATGCGGCTAGCCTGGAAACATCTAAACTGTCTGTGTGCTGGCACCTGAAGAGTTAATGTCGTCAAGGCCAAGGGCTACCGAGGGATGCCCAGGACCAGAGCCTCTCGTGGGCCTGTGTCCAGTGGTCCTGCGCCAGGAGGTTGGGAATAGTTAGGGCTGACTGTGGCCTCTGCCGTTTATTCTGCCGTTTATTCTGCAGAAGAAGGGGCTGTACCGAGCAGCGTATGCTCACCGCAAGCCCGAGGCTGGAGCAGGTGCCATAACTGTGGATGTCTTGTTCCCCAATCTGCAGGCAAAAAGGTCTTTTACCCCGTGCTGTTCAGTCAGTACAACCCGGGCATCATCTATGGCCATCATGACGCAATCCCTCCCTTGGAGCAGCAGCTGGTGAGTGGTCGCGCTGAGCTGTCTGGGTGTGTCTGTGGCATGCCTTTCCTTCAGGGACACCTGACCATCAGGGCAAATGGAGAGCGGGTAGCCAGGGGTCAGTCGAAGCCCTTCTGGGTCCTGAGGTTTAGCTGACAACCCGGCCTCAGCTTCTTGTGCTGTGTTCATTGAAAGTGCGAGATAAATCTATAGGGACGGTATCATACAGGAAGGTCATCTCACACCTTTGTGGTTTTCTTCTCTTTTTTGGGGGGGGGGCAACTGGTATACATGCCTTTATAAACAAAGAACATTTTGTCTATTGTCAATAAATCTTGCCGAGAGGGAAGGTTTAAGAACATTCCAGAAAATTCATGGAAGGGGATGGTCGTGTGGTACAACAGGTTAAGCTGCCGCCAGTGACACTGGCCTCCCGTAGGGACACCGGCCTGTGTCCTGACTGCGCCAGCCTCTGCCAGCTCCCACTAATGAGCAGAAAATGGCTCAGGCTCTTGGGCCCCTGTGCACAGCTGGGAGAGAGAAACAAGTGAGACGGGGTCTGAAAGCTCCCTCTCAACATTGCCTTTGAATCAAATAAATAATTTTTAGGAAGTTTCTGGAAACATGGAATAAAAGATATGCTTACGGTGCGGCAAGAATATGTGAAATTCATGTTTGTGAGTTTTTTTTTTTAATCTGTGAAAAATGTGTACTGTGAAAAAATATTGCTTGAATTTCCCAAAGTTTTTGTCCCATCAAATAACCTTGGTTTGTACATTTTTGTAAAGCTTTATTTTATTTCATTTTTATTGAAAAGGCAGAGTTACAAAGAGAAGAGGAGAAGGAAGGAAGGGAGTAGAGAGGAAGAAGAGAGAAGAGGGAAGGGAAGTGAACAAAGGGAGAGCTTCCAGCTGCTGGTTCTTTCCCTAAATGGCTGCAGCAGCTGGGGCTGGATCTGGCTGCAGCCTGGAGCCTGGGACTCCATTTGGATCTCCTTTGGGTGCAGAGGCCCAAGCCCTTGGGCCGGCTCTCGTGCTTTTCCAAGTACATTATCATGGATCTGGATCAGAAAGGGGGCAGCCGAGACTCAAACCAGGGATCCCAGGAGATGCCACGGCACAGCTGACAGGCTTGACCCGCATCACTGCAATGCCAGTCCCTAAAAATTCTGAAATCCATTTTTCTCACAAGCCATTGAAGGTGCCCTCGCCTGTGCCCATTATCAGATGGAAAACGCCACCACACCTGAGCAAAGAACTTGGCACGCACCCTTGCACTTCATTTCTTAACTGATTCAGAAAGCGCAGCTGTGCCAAACAGCCAAAGCTAATCCCAGTAGAGGGCGCTGGTGAGGCTTTTCCCCAGGCTGGCACTCCCCGGCCCCCCAGATGAGGAAGTGGAGGGCTCAGAGACCCTAAGTCAGGGCGGGGGTGTGTGTTTCGGCACAGGTTAAGGGCACCCAGGGGTCCCAGTGTCAGGAGCTGCTGTGGAATCGGCACTACCCAGGGCGAGATGAAGATGCAAGCCCTCATTCGGGACACATTGGTTTCAGGGTGGGAGGCACACCCCCGATCAGCCGGCCTGATACACAGGCATCCCGGGCGGAGGCAAGGCCCGCATCCGCCAGCCCCATGCGCAGGCAGCCCAGTAGATCACAGCCGGCCTTCCTGGGAGACATCCATTGGATTGGGAAGAAACGCCCTGCCGGAGTATGTGCTATTTATTTTATTGCAGAGTCCAGATTGTTTCACGGGCAGCCGGCCAAGTCGGCGCCATTAAGGCAGACGAGCGTGCTGCCGCCTCCCCACATCCCTGGGGGGAGACGCTGGTGTGTGCCTTGCATCTCAGTCCTAATGATCCACCAGCCCCACCCCGTCGGTTGTGCGGCTCACAGAGCAGGGGCCAGGCCTCCGGGAACCTCCTAGCCTGGTGGTGCTCTGTGGTGGTGGGAGACCTCAGCGGGCAAGCGCAGGCTGCGGATGGGGCTGAGTCACTCTTCAAGCACAGGCTTTGTTTGGTGCCTCCTTCCTCCTCTAGTGTAGCAGCCCTGGACCTTCAGGGTGCACCAGGCTTCAGCCTGAGACCCCAGCAAAGTCCTTTCTCCACATGGTCCGGTGGTCCGTTTCTAACAGCCCCCCGCTCCCAGACGTCCCGGGCCTGTGCTGTGTCCCTTGGGCCAGGGTCTCCCGCTGAAGCATGCCTTTTTACTCGGGCTTGAAATCGCTCTGCTTCCCCACGCATGCAGCTAAGAAGCCCTCATTCTGTATACTGGAGATATTGGATCCGGATGAAACCACAGCCACGAACTGACGATGGCGGTGGATGCAGGCTACCAGCCAAGACAGCAGCAGGTGTACCAGCAAGGTGGTTTCAGAGGTCAGGAGTGTCACCCGGGAAGGAAACCAGTGCAGCCATGTCAAGGGCCACATGGTGTGTGTGGGGTGGGGGGGTGGTTTAGATGACAGGTGCACCGATCCTGGTGAACAGACAGGGATGGGCCAGGCAGGACAGAGTGCGAGAGTGCAGCTTAGGGACCTGGAGCACTTGGGGAACGGAAAGCAGGACTCCCTGCAGACCACAGGGAGAATGAGAGATGGCGAGGTTGGAGCGTGTCGGTGGGAATGCGGCTTGTCCTTCTGCCAGCTGCTCACGTTCTGTGAACAGAACCCTCAGAGCTCTGGACGCGGCGGTGAGGACACAGCCTTGCAATAGCAAGCTGCCCCTTGCTCCGAGTGCTGTGCCGTGTGAGCCAGTTTCTGTAAAGAGCTGAAGTCCGGCATGCCTTGTCAGCTTTAGGGTCAACTTCTTGTTTTTTTTATTCAGAAAGTCAGTTTTACAGACAAACGGAGAGACAGAGAAAGCTGTTCCATTTGCTGGTTCACTCCTGAAACAGTCGCAGTGCCCAGAGCTGAGCTAATCCAAAGCCAGGAGCCTCTTCCAGATCTCCCATGCAGGTGCAGGGTCCCAAGGCTTTAGGCCGTCCTCCCCTGCTTTCCCAGGCCATAAGCTGAGAGCTGGAAAAGTGAAGGAGCCAGGACATGAACCAGTGCCCCTGTGTGATCCTCGCGCTTGTAAGGGGAGGATTAGCCAAGTGAACCATTGAGCCAGGCCTACAGTCAACTTCTTAGGGGCATTCAGTTCATCTGTTCAGATGCTGGCGTCCTCTTGGAGTGCCTAGGTTCCTGCCTCAGCTCAGGCTCAGCTCCAGAGTCCAGCATTTGTTTTTGTTTTATTTTTATTTTGAAAGATTTGCCAAGAGAGAGATCTTCCATCTGCTGGATCCTTCTTCCCAATGGCCACAAGAGCCTGAACTTGGCTGATTCGAAACCAGGATCCAGGAACTTCTTCTGGCTTTCCCATGGGCGTGCAGGGTCCCAAGGACTTGGACCATCTTTGGTTGCCTTCCCAGGACATTAACAGGAAACTGGATGGGAAGTGGAGCAGCCAGGACACGAACTGTAGGCAGAGGCTTAGCCTGCTATGTCGTAGTGCCAACCCCCAGATCCAGCTCTAACACCCTGTGACCCACACACGAGAGCCTGCTTTGAGTTCTTGGCTTCAGGCTCTGGCCTGTCTCCTCCCCTCCCCCCCTTAACTGTTGGGGACAACTGGAGAGACCAACCACGGGATGGCAGCCATTTGTCTAAATCTCTCCGCTAATTCAAAAAGGAAACAGGACTTGCATAAGCATTTCTGTTGCCCATTGCCCAGCTCAGAATACCATCCCGGGGAGGCTGCCAGGGGAGTCCTCCTTCCTGGAGCACCCTCCTCTTGTTATTCATCTCGCCTTTCTTCCCATGCCCCAATGAGGTCTTTTTTTTTTTTTCCCCATTGAGAACTCTCTCTTTGAAATTCCACATGCGCCTTGAGTTTTGGATCCTGGCACATCTCTTAGGCCCTGTTCCCATTTAGGGGTTTAGAGGCCATGTGAGCGTCGCTGGGCAGCGGGAGGCCTGGGCCTGGGGGTGGGGATGGAGGGAGGGTGTGCTGTGTCTGAACAGAAATGGTGTGCCTGGCCAGACAGGGATGGGAAAGCTGTGAAGAAAACCTGTCCCTGGCAGGGCTTGGAGCCGTTTCCGCCTGCAGAGTCTCCGGTTGATACCAACAGAACGGCCCTGTCATTTTGGGAGACGTGGTTTCTTGGCCCCGCATTGGGAAGCAGGAGCAGGGGGCAGATGCCAAGACCTCCCCCAGGTTGGCACGCCTTCCCAGGCCTGTGTTCATCCGCGGGGGGGCAATCGGAATGCTGCAGGTGACGCCCTCGTGGAGTTTGGGGTACAAGTAAAGATGACTTCCTAGGCAGCAATACAAGAGAATTTAAGATTCATCAGTCCTTTTGCAAGTCTTGCAGAAGTCCATTTCACACAGCCGCTTTGTAAAATGGAATAAAAGAGGTTTAGGTAGGTGACAGAATAAATTTTGAAAGCATGCATTCGAAGGTTCTACCAAAAGTTTGTAAAATGATGGGTATTATGAAAAGGCTGGGCACAGATTTCATTAAGGTTTTTGTTTCAAACTAAAGGGTGATCGGGTGTGTGTTCTAATTCCATTTTGGGCGGGGAGCGAACCTCTTCAGAAGTCTCCTGCTGTGTCAGATCTAACGTGGGCTGTGGCTTTGGGAAGATGTAATGAGTAACAGTAACAGTAATGAGATAAACACGTGGTGTTAGGGCTCAGGGATGACCCAGCTCAGCCCTTGATTTTATGGGAAAGAAAGTAGAGACGCCAGATGCCTCAGGCAGGAATGTGGCCATCCACATTCCACACCCACGGGACCCACTGCACCTTCCACCTCCCTCCCGCCCACACACACGCCCACACACACGCCCCCCCTCCTCTGGGCGCGGGCCTTCCCTTTGTCTCAGCACCCATGTGGACAGGGGCTGGCTCAGCTTCCTGGGTTCTGGCCTGGACGAGGACTCCAATCTTGCCTCCCAGGGGCCTGGTTGCCAGAAACCCTGCTCGCTGACGTGCGCAAGGCGCTGCTGGCCCGTCTTCCCCTCCTCCAATGACCATGCTTCCTTTTGCAGGTCATAAAGAAGGAGACCGGGTTTTGGCGAGACTTCGGCTTTGGGATGACCTGTCAGTACCGGTCGGACTTCATCAACATAGGTAAGCCGGATTTGCAGCTCTGCTGCCCCTGTTACACGAGCGGAGCCAGGAGCTCTCTGATGGAGGTGCTCACCCCCTGCCACAAATGTCCTTCCTGTGTCACGGACCAGAGCTGGACCAAGTGGGGTGTGCTGGGCACAGCATGTTGGCCCTCCAGCGGCATTTCTGCCTGCCCAAACCCTCATGTGGTTCAGGCCCACAACGTTGCTTCCTGGTGAGTCCTCTTCCAGCTGGGCCGGGCTGCAGAGCCCGCTTCTGCACGTGTAGCCGTAAGGGAACCTGGCTCCAAATAAGACCGGGGCTCGTCTCCGCTGCACCTCTGAGACTACGCATTCAAGCCCAGAATGTGCGATGGCTTTCAACACACGTGCACTTAGACACATATATGTGTGCTCATGGTCATACATGCTCCCGTTTGCATGCACACACACACATGTACACAGAGGCAGTACACATAGTGTGTACAATGCAAGTCATGGCTGCATGGCACGGTCATGCATACACATGCATGTGCTCATGTGTGTTCCACATGCACACATGCACACACACATGTGCGTGCCAGTGGGTTTCCAGAGCATGAGAAGGCAGGACCTTCTGGTTTCAGGGTGGTGCCCAAGGTGAAGGGCCCTGGCACAGCAGTGGGGATGACCATGAAGGAACAGGCCAGGACTTGGCTCTCAGTGTTTTGGGGGGTGTATCCAGAGCCCGGAAGGACCCCGGAATAGTCCTGCTGCCTCCAGGTCACTCTCTATGGAGGCCAAGGCTCCTTGTTCTACAACCCGCAGGAGCTGCAGGCTTGCTTCTGTCGAGGGTTTGGGCCGCCTACAGACACAACGGGAGCTCAGAGCAGTCGCTGGGGTCAGAGGAGAATGAAGGCTCCTTGTTCTACAACCCGCAGGAGCTGTGGGCTTGCTTCTGTCCAGGGTTTGGGCCGCCTACAGACACAACAGGAGCTCAGAGCAGTCGCTGGGGTCAGAGGAGAATGAAATCCAGCAGGTCCGAGTCAGGTCCTGCAAGACTCAGCAGAGAGGCAGGCGCCCGCCTCGGAGGGCTGGTGCTTCGCGAACACCCAGCCGTCGCCCGAGAGAGACAGGGCGGAAGAAATAGCTGTAAAGGAAACTGCCGAAATGGCAAAAATGCCCACTGAAAAACTGTTCCTTGGCTTTTAGTACAGGGAAGGTTTTTTAAAAATATAACTAGAGTTACACATGAAAGTGGAGCGGGGAAAGCAAGTTTCAAACTCCGGTTCGCTCCCCAGATGGCTGCAGCGGCTGGGGCTGGGCCACAGGAAGCCAGGAGCTTCCTCCAGATCTCCCCCATGCCTGCAGTGACACAAGTACTTGGGCCATCCTCTGCTGCTTTTTCGGGCACTTTAGCAGGGGAGCTGGATCAGAAGTGGAGCATCTGGGCCCGGCACAGTAGCCTAACAACTAAAGTCCTTGCCTTGTACGTGCTGATGATCCCATATGGGTGCTTGTTCTAATCCCAGTGACCCCGCTTCCCATCCAGCTCCCTGCTTGGGGCCTGGGAAAGCAGTCGAGGATAGCCCAAAGCCTTGGGACTCTGCATCTGTGTGGGAGACCCAGAAGAAGTTCCTGGCTCCTGGCTTCGGATCAGTTCAATTCTGGCCATTGCGGTTGCTTGGGGAGTGAATCAACGGACGGAAGATTTTCCTCTTTGTCTCTTTCCTTCTTTCTTATATCTGCCTTTCCAATAAAAAAAAGTAATTAATTAAAAGAAGTGGAGCAGCCAGGACTCAAACCAGTGTTCGTATGGGACGCCAGCATTGCAGGTGGTGGCAAGCTCGGCGCGGCATCGTGGCAGCCCCCAAGAAGACTTTTATGGATTTGTTTATTTGACAGGAAGACAGAGATCTCCCCTACGCTGACTCAGTACCCTGTGGTTTACCATGTCCAGAAATGGGTGGGGCCAAGTCCAGGTCTCCCCTGTGGGTGACAGGACCCCTCCTTGCTTGAGCTCTCAGTTCTGCCTCTCAGGGTACCAAGAACAGGAAGCTGCAGGCAGGAGCCAGAGCTGACTTTTGAGTCCAGGCACTCCAGCTTGGGACATCGGCATCTTCAAAGACACCGCAAGCTCTAGGCTCACCGCGCACCCGCAGGGATAGACTGTTTTTTTCTGATGATGTGTGTGTTTGTCAGATTTGGGGTTTCTGGATGTATGTTCCTAACCATGGATGGAGTGACAATGAGAGCTCCCAGCAGACTGGACAGGCCACTGTTTTACCTCCTAGAGAGCCCTGGGCTTCCATTTAGAACCCAGACTTTGGTCTGCTTCTGATATGCCAGTGCTGTGTGCCGTGTGCGTAAAATAAATAAATGGGGCCAGGCATGATGGCTCAATGCTAAGTCTTTGCCTTGTCAGCACCGGGATCCCACATGGACACCAGTTCGTGTCCTGGCTGCTTCACTTCCCATCCCGCTCTCTGTAGCCTGAGGAAGCAGTAGAGGACAGCCCAAATCTTTGGGACTCTGCACCCACATGGGAGACCTAGATGGAGTTCCAGGCTCCCAGCTCCTGGCTTCAGGTTGGCCCAACTTCAGCTGTTGTGGCCTTGTGGGGAGTGTGTGTGTGTGTCCCTCTCTGTAACTTTGCTTTTCAAATAAATAAATAAGAAAGAAGCAGGTAGCTATTTCAAATCAGAAACCCTAGGATTTGATTTGGAGGTTTCTAGATAGAGGCACTGATGCTCAAGCCACGCTGTTCCTTAGTTTTCAGGAGCTCCTGGCAGGTGCATGGCGGGGGGGGTCCATTGCAAGTGCTCCCCTCTCAAAGATTGGGGACTGCCTGCCATGTGGGCCTTCTCATCCCACCCTGATCTCCTGCCCCCACCACCCCACCAAGAGCCTCTTCCCAGAAAGCTCTCCACCCACAGGCAGGCCACATGGCTCAGCAGCACCTTCCTCCCCGCAGGTGGCTTCGACCTGGACATCAAGGGCTGGGGCGGGGAGGACGTGCACCTGTACCGGAAGTACCTGCACAGCAACCTCATCGTGGTGCGCACACCCGTGCGTGGGCTCTTCCACCTGTGGCACGAGAAGCGCTGCGTGGACGAGCTGACCCCCGAGCAGTACAAGATGTGCATGCAGTCCAAGGCCATGAACGAAGCATCTCACGGGCAGCTGGGTATGCTGGTCTTCAGACACGAGATCGAGGCTCACCTGCGCAAGCAGAAACAGAAGGCGAGCAGCAGGAAGACATGACATCCGCGGTCACCCCTCCCTGGGGTGGAACGGTCAGGGCCAAGGGTCAGGGCCAAGCATGTCCTCTCTCCCTCTTTCCTTTTGGCGATTTCTACCAGAGTGGCTGCAGCTGGGAGAAGACTTTTACAGCGGGTGAGGAGGACACCCCTCCCACATTCCGTTTACGTTTTGGGCATCCTGGGACAGGAATTCAGTCTCCACTCTGCCTGCACTGGTAGGCACACCTGCGAAGCATCTGACAAAGGCAGAGTGAGTGCGGGAGCAACCCGGAAGCCTGAGTGTGCGGGGCCTGTTGTGTTCTGGGCTCATGGAAATATTCATGAATGAAGACTCATTTGGCAGGAGGGTCTTTAGGTAAGTACGTGGCTCCCCCACGTGAGTGGGACTCTGCCCGCGTGGCTCTAGTTGCCAGGAATACTAACACATCAGGAGGCAGTGGAAGACAGCGGAGATCGCATGGGAGGACCAGGAAGGAGGCCATGGACCTGGCACCCTTTCCCCGTCATTCCCCGTCAGAATCAAGCAAAAGTCACCCCCTCTCATCTCATTGTCATTATAAACCATCTCTGTTTGTTTATTTAAAAATTCACTTTTTTCCCCCTGCTTGGAAGTTGTAGCTGCTTATTTAATTTGCTGATTTGCAAACCTTGTGCAGAGAGCACAGGTTGGCACACACCTGGCATTTACTGCAGAAGAGACTCTCGGGATGCATGTATGAGACTTTCCATATGCAGCATCAAATGGATGTCATGGTCAGTGGGCAGGTCAGGGGCTAGTCCCCCGAGCTGCCGTCAGCCCAGCTGTGGCAGAGCCCTGGACGCGTAGGAGGCTGGTTTGGGACTACAGAGAGCAAGAGCAAATGGGAGATGCCGATCCTGGGGAGCGACTGCCCGTGGAGCCGAAGAGGAGGTGGCGCCCCACCTTAACAGGAGCGGAGACTCTCGCAGACTGGCCAGAGCTCAACGCAGGTCACAGTGAAGATGCTTCCTCCCCCAGAGAGGTGGGGACCAATTTCTTACCTGTTTAAATAAACCAAAGTGTACTGCATGGACCAAACGATGTCTTTTCAAAGCAGGGTGCTCTTCTTGGCTTCTGGCTTCCATGAGAAGAATTGCAGAAAATCTATATTTTGTGAAAAATCCAGCCACCTGAAGAATCCAGCAGGGCAGACAGTTTTTGCTACCTGTCCAGCTGCCCCAAACTCGGGGAGCAGTGACTGTACTTATTTTTAAAATGGAAGCAGTTCGACTCAGTCCCCGCGCCGCTTCGGGGAACTGCCTTTTATTACGGTCAGAAACTATTTTTAAAACAAAAACTACAGTTCACATGGAACGGTTTCTACACTCATGTGAAATTTATTTATTAGCTAGCACCAGATGCATGAGCTAATTATCTCTCGAGTCCTTGCCTTCTGTTTGCCCACAGTCAGCTCATTGTTGAAAAAGCTTTGAGAACACTCAAGCTGTTGATGTCGGGGGGAAAAGAAAGAAAAGGCATTGTATTGATTTGTGCTGGTAGATCATCAAATTTAATTAAAACACAGGACATGGGTGCAAGGGGGTATGGCACAGCTAATAAAGTATGATTTGTGCATTTGATGTCTTCTGGTGGTGATAATGTTACAGTCTCCATCTCTGTGCCTAGCTTAGGGTTCTTCCACTAGGGCCACTGCTGGCACCTAGAGGCATGCAACCCCTGCCTTGGCAGAGAGGGGTTCATCCTGTGTCCCATAGACCAGTTCAGCCACTTGCCTACAAGGTGTCGGGAGCACCCCCATTCAATCAGCCTTGACCCCGAAGTGCCACCTGTCACCACCAGATGTCCCTGGGGAGGAATCAACCCTGGTTGAGAACCGCTGGGCTACAAGGAGAAAAAATAAGACACCCAAACCACTGATAGATTTTTTCAAATTTTTGTGTTAGAATAAAGTTGAAAAACCATGTCCCAGACCACTTTGAACTCTGTGTGCCATGGTGATCCTGGGTCGCCCAGGGCACAGTTCCACATGGTTCTGGCATGACCGCAGTCACTGCCTTGCCAGTGCCCACTCCTTGCTCTCCCAGCCTCGGGAGCTGCCTTCCTACCACGGCTTCCAGTGGCCACCAAGTATTTTGACCCTGGAATTAGGGCCTGGGCCTTGTAACTCTGGAAGCTGGTCAGCCATCCACGGTAAGAGCTGAGTCTCCCTAGTCCTTGAGGGAGATGAGAGGATGCAGCATGGCTTTGAACCACTCCTTCGTAAAGCTTAAGTGGGATGGCCTCATCGAAGGAGACAGGCCCCTTAAAGCACATGTAAGGGAGCATCTCACCCCATCGCTGTGCATCATGTAAAAAGACAGTGCAGTCCCCGCCCCCGCGACCACCCCATGCAGCAGGCTGGGGTTTACACTAACGAGAGGCTGAGGCGGAGGACTTTGTCATCTTAACTGCCACTAACTCCCCTCCGTGCCCATGCTCCCTGTGTTCCCACTGCCCCCCTCACCTTCTAGAGCTTGGGTTCTTCCAGGCGCTGCCCACCCAATCTTTACAACTCCTCATGCAGTCAGCAGGGGTGTTTACACCACAGGCAAGTGGCAATGGCAAAGACCGCCCATCAGGTCTCCCTGCCTTCCAGGGCCTTGCGACTGCAGTGTGCCCTGCCTCCCAGGAACACATTCCCAGAGGACACACCAGCCGCCCCCCGCTTGAGGGTCCAGCCCTCTTCTTACACAGCAGAGGCTCTTCCATCCCTGCGTCTAACTGCATCAGGGGTCAGGGTTTCCCAGGAGATGGCGTCATGGCTGGTGCAGCCGGACAACCTGGATTCAAATTCCACTTCTGACCCTCACGACATGCTTGAATGTCAGCGTGTCACTCGATGTCGCCTTATGGTAAAAATGAAATGAGTTAATATGAAGGAAGGACTAAAAAAAAAACGAGAAGGGAGCTAGTATTTATGTCTGGTTACTATTCAATGCACAAGTCCTCATGGATTGTGATTTGGTGAGTAAGGGAATCACGGGGCAAAAATGTTGAAACCCCCAGGGGCCCTGCACAGTGGGGTAGCAGCCTAACTCTCCACCTATGCTAGCATCCCATATGGATATTGGTTCATGTCCCGGCTACTTCACTTCCAATCTGTGGCCTGGGAATGCAGTGGAGGATGGCTCAAGTCCTTGGGCCCCTGTATCCATGTGGGAGACCCAAAAGAATCTCCTGGCTCCCAGCTTAGGATTGGCTCAGCTCCGGCCATTGTGGCCATTGGAGAAGTGACCAACAGATGGAAGATCTTTGTCTTTCCTTCTCTTTCTCTTTGTAAAATCTGCCTTTGAAATAATTTTTTTTTTTTTTTACTATTGTAACTCATGCATTCCAGGAATCTTCAGAAAGCCTCTGGAAAGCTATGTTAGGAAGGGAAGCCATGATATGTGGGTTTCAAAAACAAATGGTGTGTTTTCATTCCAATTCCTAGAGTTTCATGGTATGTTCCCTGTGTCTGACAGTGCCCTCCCAGCATGCTCAGAGTTTCTCAGATGGAATTAGAAGCCACATGGGCCAAGTCTCAGAGCCACGGCGTGCACACATCACTGTCACTGTACCAGGCTGCCTGGGGCACCGCTGAACTTGAGATCCCCAGCGGTGCCCAGCCTCCCTATGTGACGTCTGCCTATTAGAGGACAAGTTTGGGGAAGTCCCCAGCAGAGCCTGGTCAATTGCTAAATCTCCAGGGTGACAATAAAAGAGCACAATAAAAGAGCACAGTCCCAGCCATGGGGACACAGCACCAGGCAAACTCTGAAAGGCACCTCTAGTGACAGGAAAGGACACAGTCCATGTGTGCTGGAAACCCCCCGCCCCATCCCCAAAGCCCCAATCTTCTGGCACAGGCCCCTCGGATTTTGGCAGCCACAGCCAAGACTGAACCCTGCTGGGGGAAACAGCTTTGAGTGCAAGGGGGTGATAATCAGTGGGTGGCAGGGAGCTGCCAGGTATTGGATGTGTGCTGGGAGTCCTCGGGAGCCGCCCATGGGCATTCTGTCTAAATCACGACTCTCAGCAACTGTCTCGAGTCCTTTTGATCCATGCCACAGAAGGGTCAGTGACATGTCAGGTTATCTAAGATGTAAACTACATTAGTTCCCTGGGGTAGCTGCAAAACAATGACCATGAACCAAGTGGCTGAAAACAATAGGGATTTATTCCCTTGTGCTTCTGGAGGCCAGGGGTCTTATATGAAGACACTAGGAGGGCTGGGTTTCCTTGCTAGACTCTAGGAAGACCCACCATGTCCCTCCAGCACCTCCCAGTGCGTTGGGAAAGGCTCGCTGACCCAGGGTGACACCTGTGGTCAACCCTGCCTTTGTCTCCGGGTCCCACAGCCTCCCTCTGTGTGTACAGTCCATTTCCAACTATCTTTTCTTGCAAGCATGCCAGGTGTTGGTTGTAGGGCTTCACCCAGTCCAGTATAACTTTAACTTGACTACATTTGCCAAGACCTTCCCCTACCCCATCTCCGAAGAAGGCCTCATTCATGGAGGTAGATTCAAGGTGGGGACACAATTCAAGCCACAAGGAATATTTAGAAAATCCGTATATCCTCTTCTTAGCTCTTCACATTCATGGCTTCTCTCTCACAAGGGGAGGTGCGTCCTGGCCATCCATGAAGGCTGGCGAAGAACTGTACGGGATGTGGCCTGCAGATCTTACTGTAAGTTGGCACAGACAAGGGAGAACAAGGCCACCCAGCTCTCAAGTGCACCTTCATTCCCACAGGCTGTGCTGTCTCTGCCGGCTTTGCAGGGTACTTGCTGCAAGGAGGTGCTCTCTCTCTTTCCTTGTGGGCTGTATCCATGACGTGGAAGTCACTTTTCCGGACCTTCAAGCGCCAGCGCTGTACAGAAGTGGGGGGTATCAGGGAGAACCCCACTGGCAGGTACCAGCTCTGCGGCAGGGCCTAGACGGGTGGGAATGGGAGGAGGATCCTGGCTCCGCACACGTATGCACAACCAGTGCTGTCGGCTCCAGCAGGAGGAGGAGGGAGGGCCTGATGAGGCTGTCACTCAAAGAGCTCTTGGTAGTCCGGCGGCTGGTCCTGCTGACCACAGGGGTAGAGAAGGCGCTCTCTGCCCAGGGAGGTTATGGGCTCCTCCTGTGGATCACAAAGCACAGGGGCAGGTCGGGCTGCACGTGAGCAAGGTGCATAGAGTGCTAAGACCACATCCCCTCCCCACTTCCATCTGGGGCTGGCCACAGGGCTGTAGGGGCTCTGTGTGAAGTTGGAGAGGGTCATCCCTGCCACACACACCTTCAGCCTCTCCAAGGCCCTAGTTCTCAGATGTGATCAGAGCATGCTACACAGTTCAAGGTCAGCACCTCCTGGACCTTCTGAGGAGCAGTAAGATGGCCCTCTGTTTTAGGGATGCCACTCAACGCCCTCAGCCTCCCCCACGCCCCCACCACCTGAGCTCCACAGCAAGGGTCTCCTACTACCTGGGTGATGGCAGCCCCCCTCCCCGAGAGGCACATGGAGCGGGTAAGGGCTGCGAGTGATGTATGCGTGTGTCCATGAGTGTCACCTTGTGGTACTCCACCAGGTCAGCCAGCGTGGCATGCTGCAGCTGGTCCACGCCCAGGAAGCTGTAAGAGTCAGCCGAGGCGTCAATAAGGAAATGTTTGCAGTTGCCGTCCTCCGCCAAGTAGGAGAGGGCATAGCCTTTGATCTTCTCGCTGACCCGGACCAGGAAGGTGCCAGGCACACCCGTGGTACTCAGCAGCTCATTGGCCTTCTGCAGAGTGAGAATCCCTGGTGGAGAGAAAGAGCAGGTGTGGCAGCTAATCCCCCTCTGGAACTTCTGCTCTCTATCCATACCAGGGTGCCCGGATTCCAGCCCAGATTCTGCGGCCCATCCCAGCTTCCCACCGAGCACCTGAGCGACCATCTGCTGCCTGCCAGGGTGCAGCAGAAAACAGCTCCAATGTCTGGGCTCCTACACTCAGAAGGCTACAAACCTTTTGTAACCCTGAACACTCCTATGTCCTTGAAATTGCCACTGCCTCTGAGGACAGGCCCTGCCATGGATATTCAAGGTAACAGCCTGTGCCAGCCTGTGGGAAGTCTTCATGACACCTAAACCAAGCAGCTTGGGGTGGACGGGCACAGCAGGCACCCAGAGCAGGACATTTAGAAACTGTAAGTGGATACAGAGATCTGAGTCTGGGATCTGGCAGGAGAGGGGGTTCTCTCTCCGCTGGCTGACGTCTACATCCTTGGGGAATCTGAACCCCTCCCCAGACTTTCGGTATAGGCTCAGTACCCCAGTCACATTTGGGATGTGAAGTATAAGGAGATCAAGGCAATATCTTTAACAGGTAATTCAAGGCCCAGGCTGGGGTATGGTGAGTGAAGCTGCCTCCTAGAGTTTCAGAATCCCACATGGATGTTGGTTCAAATCCTGGCTATTCCATATCCAAGACAGCTCCCTGTGGGAGACCAGGATGAAGTTCCTGGCTCCTGGCTTCAGCCTGGCCCAATCTGGCCATTGAAGCCATCTGGGGAGTGAAACAGCAGATGGCAGATTTCTGTCTCTCCTTCTCTCTCTGTAACTCTGATATTCAAGTAAATACAACAATTTTTCAAGTCAAATATCTTTCACCAAGGTGTCCCTTAGATTACTGGTCCATCTCTGCCTTCTGGGCCTTCAGTAGCTCTTTCAAGGGGAACAGGGACTTTTAAAGGACAACCGCCACCAGTTTCAATTGCATGCTCCATGCTGTGACAAAACCTAAGGCCCCTGTCATCAGGGATGAGAGGAGGGAGGCTGGCCACCTGACCTGGGAGCCCAGTCACCAAGGAAGTAGTCCTGGAGAGAAGGCAGACTCAGCGGCTGGATCATGCCGACAGAGAGAGCAGCCCTTTAGGAGAAAGCATACTGCTGGACAGCCCGTTTTTTGCACAAGGGCTGACCGCATGTCGGCCAAGAGCCTGTGTGTTATGTGTGCTGTGGTTTGTATTGGAGTCTGTGGAAGCTGCTCAAAAAGCAGAGGGGGTGCAGCCTGCTTAGCAGCGTATGAAGAGCTGCCCAGTGAAGAGGATTGGAAAGCATCCTGTTGGGCAGCACCTGTGCGAGAGAGCTCTGATTTTCCCCACCTTCTTGAGGGACTAGCAGGTGCCTGCCAGAGTCACCCAGTGAAACTCACCATGGAACCAGGGGGCGACAGTGTCAGAGGTTTTCAGGTAGCCTGCTCGGAAGGGCAGCTGCTCCTCCTTAAACCAGCGGATGATGTCCTCCTGGCCAAAACTGGATGCCGTCCTCATCACTCCTTGAGTCCTGGGATTGGTAAACAGGTGCCTGAATCCTGGCTAGCTGATCTGAGCATCAGTTACAAAATTGTCTTTCAAATGCGCACACACACACACACACACACACACACACACACAGATTCCTTCAAAAACTTCATAGAAAAACACAATTGGAAGGTATGGCTGCTTGGGTGCGAACACACTAAAACCCCATGCCTAGATTTCTTTTTTCCGCATCGCATGTATTTTTCTTTCATGAGTTTTTCAAAGACCCCTGGCAGACACAGACTTCAAGAATTACTTGCATCAAAATCAATGTATCTTTCAATGTCACTCCCCAGGAACTTCCTCAAGGATCCAGGTGATGTGTGTGCAGATGTGTGCTGATGTGTTTGTAGGCACACGCACACAGGTGCTTGAGAGAGACAAATGACATGTCATTCCAGATCTAATCCCAAGGGCTGAGCCACTGGCAGTCGGACCTATTACACATTTCCAATGTACAGCAAACTCCTGAAGGGCAGCAAGAGGCAGCAGTGCAAACCTGTCCCTTGCCCCTTCATCCAAAGGGTTGTGACTGGCATGGGACATGGCTGTGCTGACACAGAGGCTTAAATTTAATTTTATTGCAAATTATAGAAGCACCATTTATTTACTGCAAATTATAGAAGCACCATTTATTTACTGCAAATTATAGAAGCACCATTAACTTCCAATTGAAATTTGAGAAAACAAGCATTAACAAGTAAAACACACTTCCCCAGGTACTATCTTCCTGGGGACCGTGCACCTGCAAGCAAAAAGAAATCAAATGCAAAAAGATACCCTTCTTCTCTAACCTGTTAGCAGATGTACCAATGCCCCCTCCTTTCTCCGCTCCCCTTTCGCCGCTCCTTCATCTCCCTGCCTTGCTTTCTGCTCGCTCACACCTGGAAGAGGCTGAGTCCTGCTATAAAAGACAGCCTCAGCAACATGCAGGGCAGGAAGAGAATCCTTTGAAGACTGGGATGACAGAGAGTCGTTCTGAGAGCAAGTCAGTAGCAGAGTCTAAGTTCAGGGACATGAGCGAATTTCCACTACAAAAGGCGGCACTGTGGCATTTTCCAGTTCTCCTGGGCAGCCCGCCTGCTCACGCAGAGCAGCCCTCCAAAGCAGCCAGGAGCCTGCATGAGCCCCTTGTACAGCTTTTCGTAGAACCCTACAGGAGGGTGCGTGCTGCCGCCGGTTGCATGGGATGTGTATGTCGGATGGACAGGTAGACCTGGGACATGTGCAATCGGCACGTCCATCAAGGGCCCCCGTGGTCTTCCAAGGACCCTGGAGGAAGCCATGCTTTGGTACTGGACTTGCGTGGGAAATGGACATCGCACACATGTGCAGTGACAGGACACAATCCCACATTCAGCGTCCAGAGCAGATACTTTCTCTGGAGTGTCCTCGGAATTCAAGCACTCTGAAGGTACAAGAGGAGCCTGTCCCCAGCTCTTTCCATGAAGCATCCTCCAACTGTCCCTGACCAGGTCCTCACTGCTGAGGGTCCCCCCGGCCCATCCCCACCAGTCTGACTCCTCAACAAGCTCGTCCCACAGTACCTGGGCTTGGAAAATGAGCTAACTCAGCACAGCATAACACCAGCATGGACCTGTCAATCAAATACGGTGGCCAACAGACACCTTGAAAGTACGATTCCCATTCTACCCTGGGAGATCCTGATGGGCAGTGGGGGAGTGGGAGGTGTCGGCTGGTGCAGAGGCGTGGGCACAGGGGGGTGCCCTGGCACCTTCCTGACCGAATAACAAAATGTTGTAGGCCACCCTGTGTCCTTACTGCTTCCTGGTTTTGTTGTTCGTAAGTCAAGCCATCAGTCTCCAGGGTCCCTCTGCAGAATGTGGTCACCCAGTGCTGGTGCCACATCCCCAAGTGGAACCTTATATCACATCAACCAAGTAAACGACCAAGGGCAAGCAGGTCCCCCTCTGTGCTTCCTCTGTGCCCATGACTCTGGCATTAGAGACCTTGAAATAACTGTGGGCTCTGAGCAGAGTGGGGGAATGCTGTGTGTGTGTGTGTCCATGCCTCGCTGACCAGAATGTCTGCTTTACAAGGCAAGGCTAAAGGCAGCTCTACTTTGTCCCAGGGCGCTATTTGATTTTTTTTTTTTTTGACATTTTGACTATTCGGGGGAGAAAAATTATCATACAATCAGGAAACATGGAGAATGGTGGCTTTCCTGCTACTTTCTTCTGGGCATTTCTCAAATTCTTCTTCCTGTGGCCCCTGGGGCAAAGGCCTCTGTCACCACCACATTAATAATAGATTCATTCACATGGGAGCATGTCCCAAGCTCACAGACCCAAGCATGAGAAACCACACCTCCAGATGACAGATCTCCAATGCAGTTACCAACACACACATATACACACCCAAGCACACAGCGGACCAAGCTGTCCACCTGCCTGGAGCCTGGCCTCTCTCACCTGAGTGGTTTTGCTGGGCTTAGGAACTGAGGCTTTGGGGGCAGAGGAGGCCTCTTGGGTTTCTGGGGGACACTCGCGGGGGTCTGTGGCGCCTGCCCACTCCGGCTTCTCTGAGAGAGTCTCTTGTAGTCCTGCCGCGCTTGTCTGGCCAGAGAGCGCCTCTTCTCGTCGGCCAACTTGGATTTCCGCACTGCAAGAAAAATGGTGTTGGGGTCTGCGGCAAGGGACTCTTTTTCCAGCCCTACTCAGATTCAGCAACGCCCGCTCCCTTGGGTACAGGTCAGGCTCCAGTGTGCACAGGGGCTCCCAGCAAGCCAAGCCAAGATCGACAAGCCGCATTCAGCCTCGATGAACACGGCTTGGCAGACACAAATTCACAGGGTGGCCAGAGAAGGTGCTGGCATAGCTCAAAGCCGTCGGAGCCACTTCCAGTGAACCTGGTGTGCCTGCTCTCATGGGACACGAGTGCAGACTCGGAGGTAGGAGCTACGGCTGGAGGTCACCAAGAGTCTGTGTGCCCTCTGCGGGCAGGAATGGGCAGCTCCTGTTAGGCTGCTAGGTCAGGCTTCTGCCATCTTGCATTAGGAGAACATGCAAGAAGAAAAAATCAAATACTGTTAAATCCCACCTCCCCAAGAACACTTAGAAGTTTCTGAGCTCTTTTCCTTCAGATGCATAGCCTTTTGTAAACATTTTTCAAACTACGGAACTTACTATCTTCTCCAAGCTGGAGCTATAAATGTTTTCCAAGGTTACTAACCATTTCCCAAGCATGCAATTCCTCCCTATAAAGCTCTCCAGCACAGACATACATCACCGCTTTGACTGGACCAAGACAGACAGATGGCCAATCTACCATCCCATAGTATCTCCTAAGCATCGAGCAGTAATTGAGTGTTAAGATACTGGCACTGGGGCAGAGCTAATTACGCTGCAGCCTGCAAGCCAGACATCCCTTGTGAGTGCTGGTTCAAGTCCCAGCTTCCGACCAGCTCCTTGCTAGGGAAAGCAATGGAGGACAGCCCAAGTGCTTGGGGCCCTGCACCCTCTGGGATGCCTGGATGGAGTTTGTTGTCCCTAACTTTGGCCTGACCCAATCTTGGCCATTGTGGGGAGTGGTTCAGCAGATGGAAGATAGCTTTTCTGTTTCTCTCTCTCTCTCTGTCTCTCTCTGCCTGTCAAAATAACTCCATAAATTTTTAAATGATACTAGTGTTGTGCTAAGACACAATGGGACGGCCCACTCTGACTGCTTCCTGGACAGAACATTCTGCAGGCAGCGGAGGTGGCCGAGGGGCTGGGCAGCCTCCATACTCACACGACGCTTGCCACTCTGAGTCTTCCTTCCAGTTCTTGTAAATCTGCTTGGTTCTCTCTTCATCTATTTCTTTGACCTCCTCTTCTTCCTGTTTCTTCACAGGTTCTTTCTTCTGTTGGAAACACACACACAAGGAAACAAACATAGGTGAGCCCGGTGGGCCGAGTTTCCTGCCAGGGGACGGGAATGTCTGATGTCTGGCAATTGGGCCAGGAATGGAACCTCCCTCTGGCCATGCCCCCTTCAGTACTAAGAGGGGAAAATCTTTTTTTTTCCTCCCTTAGTTAACGCAAGGCTTAATGAACTTTAAAAGTGTGTCCAAGGTTCCCCATCAATATACCTGGCTTCATTCATTCTTCATACACCAGGCTCTAGCTTCCTGCTAATGCCCACCGTGGGCAGGCAGAGAGGATGGCCACAGGGAACAGGCCCCACATGGGAGATGTGGAGCGAGGTCCCCACTGCCTGGGCATGGCCCTGACCACTGTGGGCATTTGAGCAGGAAACCAGCAGATAGGAGCCTGCTCCCAGCTGTCACTAAGCCCTAATCTCAGCCTTTGTGGGTGTTTTGGGAATGAGCAATCAATAGGAACTCTTACTCACTCAATCTCTCTCACTGATCCTCATGTAAGTAAATAACATTTTAAAAATCTGCCATCCTTTATGGAAGCTTATTCACAAGGCTCAATGGCAACCTTCAAGGTTATGCAGGAAAGACATGAGGGTTGAGTTAAGTTCATCTGCCATGTACACACGGGTCCAGACTAGGACATAGGCTGTTAGAAAGCCAAGCGAAAATGATTACAAATGCTGCTACTCAGGACCTGAGGTTGACAAAGTGAATCCACGTGAGGAAAATCATTAAGAAAATTATGCTGGGGGGACTTGGCTAAAGGGACGTCATCCCAGCACCTAAACAGTGCACCATGCTGTGAGCCTGCTCCCTGTCCATGACACAGATCCAGCAGGAAAGCAGGCAAAAGGCACAAGCCTTCCAGAGGCACACACATCTGGCCCCGATCCCTCTGTGTTGGCAAAGCAGTCGGGAAGCTTGAGAATATGTCCCAAGTCCCCGCAAGGATTTTCTCCCCAAACCACATAATTGTGAAATCTTCAAAAACCTTGCCTTAGTATCCTTTACCCAGAAACCAATCATTTCCTCTTCAAGAGCACTTTTGCTGGGAACCTGGTGGTCCAACCTGAGGATCATGAGTGCCAGGGGGCAGAGCAAGAAGAAGGCTGTGGATGGAGGGAAGGCACACCCAGATCAGATCCTGGTCCAGGCAACCCCAAGGCTGGCAAAGCACACTGCCAATAGGTGCTCAGTCTGCAGAACCAGACAATGAGGCAGTTGAGGCAACACAGAAAGTGCCCCTTACCTCCTGACCGTCCCCCCAAAACAGGGAACCCACAGTTGGGTTGCTGTCTCAGAGGAATGGAGGAAATGGCGCTCTTGTTCCTCCTGCATCTCCGTGAGCTGACTATCATCCTTGGCCATGGCTGTGGTGAGCACCCTGCCTCTGCTCCCCACACACCTGCTGCACCCTCTGCCAGCAGCACCCTCTCCCCCAATGCCCACTGTGCCCTCTGCTCCTTCCCTCAGATGGGAGCTACAGTTTCACTTCTGTCCTCCACATCCCGGCACCTCCTCTCCCTGCCTTAGCTTTCCTCTCTGCACCCATGAACATCTACTTGCCTGTCCATCTGTCTTCTCCGCAGACTACAAGCTCCCTGGGGGAGGGGAGAGCATGAGTTTCATCTTGCTTGTTCATAAGTGGGTCTCAGTTTCCCGAGTAGTGCCTCAAGCACTTGCATGCTTGCATGCCCGCGCACACACACATCCTTGCTTTCTCTCTACCATCTTCTATTAAAATGGAGTCCTGGGATCCAAGGGAGTTACTGATGCCTTCCCTACAGATCAGTCCACCCTTACTACCTTCAGAAAGGCGAGTACAGTTGCCTACAGGTGCCTGTGTTGCGATTGGTTCTGACCTTCCAAAGCCCACGGACCCCAGCATGGGCCGATGGCCTAGTTCTTTATACAGCATGGCATGGCATGGACTGTACAGCAAGCACATAGCCTCCCACAGGTGCTAAAGCACATCTGGATAACTCATCTCTGCCAGTGCCTATGACGTCAAGGTCCAATAGATGGCCATGAGATTGTACAGCTGAGGGGACCGGTGTCCACTGCAGACCCAGGATCTGCCTTCAGCAACTTCCACTCCCAGCTTGCGTCAGATGACAGAGGGTCAGTGAAATGCCTTCAGGGTCTACAGTGATGCAAGTTCACCAGGCTAATCTGCAGGCCCAGAAGTGCAAGCTCTTCCAGCGTGTACACCTTGCTTGAAGTGGAGGCAGGCAGCCGACCGATGGCACCAGATGGTCCCACAGGAATGCAAGCCTCTGTCAGCCCCCTCTCATTCACAACCTTCTCTTGGCTTTTCCTGACCTTCTGGGGGGGTTGGGGCACAGTCCTAGGGTGATTTCCAAGTGCCGATGGCTGCCTAATGTGTTCCCAGAGAGGTGTGAGGTGACAACAGCTTAGCCAGATGGAGGACGCATCTGGTGGCCCCGGAAGAGACCTGAACACCTGCCAGGAGATTGGCACAGCTGGCACAGCTGGCACGAGAGGGTCCTGCTTGCAATGGCGCTGAGCACACATGTGACTTCACGGGAATTCACCGTTGCTGCCACGGGCTCTGTCACTCACTTTCTGCAATCAGTCCCCTCAAGTATGCAGCATCCAAGATACAGCCTCTGCCCTGGGCCTCCAGGGAAGGGGCTTCGCAGCTCCATCTCAGCACCTGTTTCTTCTGTGACATTCTAGATGTACACGCCCGGGTCCAGATAAAGAGGGAGAGATGAACAGCCAAGTCTGAAGCTCGTGCAGATGTTGCATTCTGCTGCCCCACCGCCTTTCTGCGGGAGACTAATTAGCTCGTCTGTGAGCCAGCAGCAGAGGCGGCGATGCACTTAGCCCCTGAGGATGGAATGTTAAGTCTTTTTTACCTGTTGAAATCCACATGCCTTCATACGGCTGATAGAATCTGCCAGCATTTGCTGAATAGTCCTTGAAGAACTGGAGGATGACTAAAAATCAAATGAGACACATTTTTATAGCACTGGGAGCTGGGATGCAATTTCAGATCATCTCACATGTGCACCCACATTCCTAATGTGTGTTCCCGCTGTCCTTCCCTCCTGCCCTGCCCCATGGCACCTGGATCCCCTGATCTAATTCCAGCACTGGCAGCAGGCACGGGGAGCCTGGCCAGGAGCCGGGAGCTGCTGGCTTGCTGTGTGCACCAGGCTCCCCATCCAGCCCTGGTAAACCTTGATGGATGACTTGTGGCCATCAGCGTTACTTCCCTCCTTCAACGTATTATTCTCTGCATCTCGCTCGACTCGGGCCAGATAAACACCTTGGTCTCTGGTACCCATTGCCCAATACCTGGTTCTGTCCCAGACTTGGAAGCATGCCGGGAATGCTAGTGTTAATACCTGGGAGCCAGGTCTGGTCACCTCCTCTCTTTCTGTAGGTGCCATCCAGTGTCTAAGATATTGCCATGCACAGAAATTTCCCCCAGGAGCACTTGGCTCCTCCTCCACCCCTCAAGGAGATAGAATGCAGTGTGTGAGCATCCAATAGGTTCACTCTCTCACCGTGCCCTGCTCAGTGCCATCAGATCTGTGGGAATAATTGAAATGCATACAGTGTCTTTCATGGCATGTTTTTTCCCATATAATATGAAAATTAAAAACTGCATGCCTACTTTTTTTTAAGTTATTTTTATTGGAAAGGCAGAGTAACAGAGATCTCCCATCTGCTGGCTCACTGCCCAAACGGCCACAATGATTGCAGCTTGGCCAATCTGAAGTCAGTAGCTTCTTTCAGGACTCCCGGGGTCCCAAGCACTTGGGCCATCCTGCAATGCCATCCTGCGCCATGTCCATATGGGATGCCCATGTCATAGGTTGAGAACTGGCCTGCTATATTGCCATGCCAGCCCAGAAACTCACACCTTCCGTTACATTTTTCCATGAACAGTTCTTCCACACTGCACCTGACTCACAGCCATCCTGGGTACACAGCAGCACCATGTTGGGGGGATACCAGGCGGACTGTGAGAACCCCGAGGCCAGGGAGCTGGGGAGCCCACGCAACACGGGGAGAACTGCCGGGTGTGCTCTGCCTGTCCTTGTCGCTAAAGGTCCATGGCCACCAGGCCAAGTCCATTCACCCACTGGTCCAGCTGCCATGCACAGTCCCCTTGATGCAGACACAGCTGCTGAATCCGTCACAGCAGACAAGTCACAAGGGAAGACACTTTGGGATGCCCACCTAGAGTTCTCCCTCCGTACCTTCAGGCAGGGGTGAGAAGGCTTCCCTTTTTTCATCCAGTACTAACAGAGTCAAGTCCCCCTCCCAAACGTCCAGGAGCGGCAGGACCCTGACACCAGCTGGGGCTGTCATCCTCCAGCTGGAGAAAGCCTGGGACCTTATCCATGCATGCGCTCTCTCCACCAGTTATAGAAGTCCGTTGTCTACTCCTGGCCAGCCCAGTGCCACTCACCTTGGTTTTCTCGTCCTCCGTGGCCATGGGTGTCGAGCATGATTCCTGGGCCGGACCCTCCTGCCGGACTGCTTTCCCGGGGACAGTTGGCGCCTCCCTGTTACCTGGCTCTGGCCTATCGCAGTGCTGTGACTTCATGCCTCCTGTGTCTTGTGGAGATGCTTCCAAGGGTGCTTTTCTGAAGATAAACCAAATTTGAAAGTGTCAAAAGACTCTCCAAGGGCCCAATGTGACAGCCTAGCGACTAAAGTCCTCACCTTGCACACCTGGAATCCTTTATGGGCGCTAGTTCTAATCCCAATGACCCTGCTTCCCATCCAGCTCCCTGCTTGTGGCCTGGGAAAGCAGTCAAGAATGGCCCAAAGGCCTTGGGACCCTGCACCCGTGTGTGGGAGACCTGGAAGAGGCTCCTGGCTCCTGGCTTCAGATTGGTGCAGCTCCAGCCATTATGGCCGCTTGGGGAGTGAATCAACGGACGAAAGATCTTCCTCTCTGTTTCTCCTCCTTTCTGGATATCTGACTTTCCAATAAAAATAAGTAAATCTAAAAAAAAAAAAAAAAAACGCCTCCCCCACTGGGTTCTGGCTTGTGGCTCAGCCCGTTAAGCCACTGTTTGGGACACACACCGGCATCCCTCACTGGAGCACCTGTTCAGGCCCTCACTGTTCCGCTTGCAATGCAGTACCCTGCTGATGAACCTGCAGAGGCAGGTCCAAGTGCTTGGGCCCCTGTGCCCATACGGGAGACCCGGAAAAAGCTCCTGGCTTTTCATTTCAGCTTAACCCAACTCTGGCTTTTAATTACAAATCATTTTTTTTAAAGAAGAATTACAAACCATTTTTTAAAGAAGAAAGCCTTCCTTCTGCTGCCATCCAAGGTACCCTGGCTACAACTCCATCCCTCCCTCCTCCACTACACACACACAAAACACTTGAGCAACTCACACTCCCCAGAGTGCTGTTGGCACTCAAGGCTAGGGTAGGGCTCCTGGCCACAACCCACTTCCCCCTGCTGCCCAACCTTGTGTCTTGGAAAACTTGGCCTTGTCTTTCCAGGTTCAGCTTCGGTTTCACCTCGGCCGTGGATGAGAACCACAAGCCTACTGCCTGAGCGGGGCTAATCCTCCAAGGATACCTTAATTACAGCATACTTCATACACAGCCCGTGCCAGCCGCGAAGGGCCTGGTTCTCCTTTGCAGCCCGGGTTCTCTGTTCACCTTTCAGTACACAAAGCCTGCCTCGCAGACCCCTGGGGCTCTGCTGTGTGGACCTGCTCTAAACTGACCCCTCGGGCAGGCAGCACACACCTGCCAAGCTCTGAGCTGGGGACAGTTGGGGTAGGGTGGGGAAGCAGCAGACTCATTAACGAGGGTGCAGGGCGTCCGTGAAAGCATGCAGAAACCTTGCAGAGCAAGCCCCGGCGACACCTGCCTCCCCCAGTCCCTGCTCACTGCACCATCTATCCCAGCAATGATCTCTCTGCAGAGTGCCCTGGCACGGCCGCGGCCTCCTACCTGAGCTGTTGGGCGTCCTGCTCTGCTTGCCTCCGGGCCCGCTCCGCCACGATCTCGTTGCACAGCACGTCGTAGGGCTTGTCCAGAGGGTGCTCACCCATTACCCACACCCACACCTCCTGGTCAGCTCCCAGCCTCCAGTGCACGGATTTGCCATTCTCTGCAAGACACAAGCACGACAGCCTGAGAAAACAGTCTGTGTGCGGACTGCCCTCTTTTCCTGTCTCTGGAACTAATCGGGGAGTGGGGAGGGAAGGTCCCTGCAGGACGTAGGAAAGTCATGCATTTCCAACTGCTCTGGCAGGAAGGGCACCCATGGGTGGGAGGAGCAGCGCTGGCACCAGCAGTGGCTGCAACAGTCGCAGCTGCCTCAAGACACATGGGAACAGTGTAGCATAGCACGCTAAGTCTTTATCTGCAGCACAGGCATTCCACATGGACACCAGTTATTCTCTTGTCACTTTCCATCCCTCTCCCTGAGTGGAGCAACATGCTTGAGTCTTGGGTCCATGCACCCAGTGGAGACTGGAGAGTCCTAGCTTTGGGTAGGCTCAGATCCAGCCATTGCAGCCATTTGAGGAGTAAAGCAGTAGATGGAAAATCTACTGCTTCATCCTGCAACTCACTTTCAAATAAAAATAAATATATTTTTTAAAGGACCTGTGGGCATGGCTTCTGTGTGTGCCCATTTTGCGCCTGGGGAAGTTGTGACGGGCAGAAACGTGAACGTGAACTTGAGCCAGACACTCTGATACAGAGCATGAGGGTCCTACCTGAAGTCTTAGCTGCTGTGCCACCCTCGGTGCCTCTTTAAGGAAGGAGGGTATCGACTGTCCCTTGAAGTGACACAGGCTCTTTCATCAGAGGATGGCAAGGTCTCATGGGAGCACTTTCATTGAGTCACTGAACCTCCCTCTCCCGTTCTCAAACCAGATGGCATCTGTACTTTATGGTCAGCAGCGCATTTACGCACACACAGACACACGCAGACACACACACGTCATGCTCTGTACCCTAGCCGAGTGACTCCACCCTCCCGTGAGCCATAGCACAAAGAACACCAGGCAGAGATACACGGCGGCACCTCATCCAGCAGACAAGTGCTCCTTCAGGTCTCAGACAGTCCCCCATCTGGGACTACACTATAAACCTGGGGCTGAAGCACGGCTACAAAGTATCACACGAGACAGAGGTGGCGCCCCTGTCGGCCTCAGTGACCGCTTGCTGCTGCACAGTAGGGACAGCAGGTGCCCATGAGGCTGAGCCATGCAGACGCAGGGCTGGGCACCAGGAGTCCTCCTGGATGGATGCTACCATTCACAGAGTCGGCACCTGCACCTTGGCTGGCTCCTGTGAGGACAACCACAGCACCGGGGGCATGGCAGAAAGAGAGAGAATTGATCGCTTTTGATCCAAGGCTGGGCAGCAGCAGCGAAAAGAAACCACCGTACTTCAATCGGATGGTACTGGGATGTGGCAGCAAATTCATATCTGACATCCCTGGGAATGAGGGTGGAGCCAGAGCAGGGGACCAGCTTCAGGATCCCCTGTGGGACACTCAACTACCTTGTATTAAATGATCTAGCATTTGCATGAATAACCTTCACAATCCTCCCATAGACTTCAAATCATCTCTCAATGACATAATGATACCTAATACAATACAAATGCTATGTAACCGTTATACTGTACTGTTTAAGAAGGGTGAGAAAAAAAGAGTTTTGCGTGTGCTGAGTATAAATGCATTGCTTTCAGGTTGTTAAAAGAATGGACGAATTTATTTGAAAAAACAGAGTAGCAGAGAGAGGGAAAGACAGAGAAAAAAGGATCTTTTCCATCTGCTGGTTCACTCTCCAAATGATCACAACAGCCAGGGCTGAGCCTGGCCCAAGCCCAGGAACTCCCTCTGGGTCTCCCGCAGGAGTGGCAGATGCCCAAGTTCTTGGGCCACCCTCGCATCAGCAGGAAGCTGGATTGGAAGCAGAGTTTCCAGGACTTGAACAGACACTGTGAAATGGGATGCGGCTGCTCCCAGCAGCGGGTTAAGTCATGCTTCTCAGCGCCCACCCCTTACCAATGCCTCTGATTAGCATTTGGTTGAATCTGCAGGCGCAACACCCACGGATGTGGAGGACTGGGTTGTAAACATAATGGGAATCTCACCAGAGTCTCTAGGCTGTTCAAACTCCATGAACTACTCTCCAGAGTCCCAAGTACCCCTATCAACTCAGCCTCCCTTGTAGCAGACACCCTCCTGCACCTGCTCCAGAAACCAGAAGGCAGAGGGAGGAGCCTCCGGACTCAAGGGCAGCAGCCACACCCCTCCTGAGCAGCTGACCTCCATCCACTATCTGTCCGCAGATCTCCCCCAGGCCATCAGCACTCCCTTTGAACGGGGTACCAGTAACTGGCCCACAGTCACAAGGCTAGTAGATATTGAGACCAGAATTCCAAAGCAGACAGTGTGATTACAACCCTGTGTCAAAGGGCAGCTTTCCCCTGTGTGTTCCAAACAGAAATACTCTGGAGAGTGCAAGACAGATGACCCAAGGGGATGCTGGCGTGACAGAGAGCAGCAGGACGCGGCGGGGTGGGGTGGGGGTCCCAGCCTCTGCCAGGGCTTCCAGACGTGACTCACGATTGGAACTTTCCCCACTTTGCTCACTGTACAAGCAGATTTCGAAATGTTCCTAAAAACGTAGGATTAAAAACAGAAGTTCTTTTCAGAGCAAGACTAATTGTAAGCTGTGCAGAGTCTTGGCTTCACATACATTTTCCAAAAAAACCTGTTGAAGAGCCCTTTGTAGAGGGGCAGCACCCACAGGGCGGGGATAGGCTGAATCCAGGGTCAGAGGAGGCAGGGGTGGGTGGAGCTCTGTGCTCAATCAGCAGGTGGTTAAACACAGGCACACCAAGAAACTCAGGATTTGGGAGGCAGAGGCCAGGCGCATCAGGACAGAGGGCCGAGCCAACCAGGGTTTGATCAGAACCCGCCTCCTCAATTGGAAGAACAAGAGGCACAACATCCTCTTCGCCCGCTGCTTGCAAGTTACAAGACAACAGGAGTGCTCAGGCCTGGCCCCTCTCCAGCCACAGGGGCGGGGAGTCCAGCAGGTGGAGTGGGGTCTGTCGACCCAGTCCTTGGGTGGTGGCACAGGCACTAGGGAGGCTCCTGGTTTCCCAGCTTCGGTGACGAGGCCCAGAGCCATGTCACTGACTGATGGTGTCGGGGAGGGAGAGGCAGGGTCAGGGTGTGGTGAGGAAAGTCGGGGTGAGGCTGATGACGCTGAATTTGCAGCAAGTTCTTGGGCTTCCTGGGGATCCTTGAAACCAGGTGCTGAGAGCAGAGCTAAAAGGAGAGGCTGGGTTGGTCATGCAGGGAAGAGAGAGAGAGAGAGAGTCAGTCGGGGAAAGGGAATTCAGTGAGTGGCTGTTCACAACATCAGAGGAAAAAGTTCTGCCCCAAGGTGGGAAGGCATGCTCCCACCCTCAACCCTGGAGCTGTGAACCCCTGGATGAGCTTTGGGGGAGCTGTGAGCCTTGTCAATCACACAGCACCCCATGTGTGCTGTGATGGGTTTACGCTTCTGCTTGGTTTTCTAAGTTCTGAGTCCTGCCCCACAGATCTGATCTCAAGGTCTCAAGCCATCAGTGCCGGGGAAGCACTCTTTGGCCTGCAGCCAGCAGGAGGGGCGCTGCCAGTCTTTCAGGGAGCAGTGAGTTCCAAAGGAGAGGGCAGATGCCACCCAAGTGGCACACACCAGTGGCTTTCTAGGTACTTCCTCCATCTGGCTTTGGCATGGGCACACGCGCACAGCAGAGCCCCTCTTGCACCATGCACAGCCATCAGATGAGCACAGGCAGGGCATCCCTATGGATGTGCTTCTGCTTGTGCTGCCTGGCAGAATGACATAGGACAAAGGCTCCACACAAGCCCTGAGCTGTCACCTGAGCTGTCACCTGAGCTCATCATGCCATTTCTCTGTCACCAGGACCAGCTTTGGGGATCGTACAGACAGGCAAGTCCAGCTCTGCCTGACCCCTAACCATTCCAGCCCCAGCTGCTGGTCCTGGGCACGGCAATGTCCCTCAGCAGTCCTTCTGTTCTGAATGTGAAACATGAACAGTTATTCATGCTGCAGCCTTCCTGTGCTCATGAAAGAGAATAATGTGGTCATCAAATTAAGACATTAATAAGCAAGCTTGGCCCAGATCTGATATTCAGTGAGTTGAATAAACACTGGCTGGAGTTGGTGTTGGGATGTGACAGGTGAATGTACCTCTTGGGGTGCCAGCATTCCGTTTCCGAGTGCCCTGTTTGAGGCCAGACTGCTCCTCTTCCGATCCAGCTCTCTGCTAGGGTGCCTGAGGAAGCAGTAGAAGATGGCCCAAGAACTTGGGGCCCTGCACCCACATGGGAGACACAGAGGGAGTGCAGCCCTGGCCATTGCAGCAGTTTGGGGAATGAACCAGCAGATGGAAGATCTCTCTATCTCTGCCTTTCAAATATATGCATCTGACCACATGAAACAACGGCTGCCTGATGCCACTCTTAGTGCCGCCTGTGGACGATGGTTGTGAGCCACAGCTGCTACGATAACTTAGCTAGTGAGCCCGTTCAAGATTAAAAGCGATTAATGAAATGAATTGTCATCATGTATTATACCCAAAGCCCACAAAACACTATCTTCAACTCACTCTTTGTCTCTGTCACTCTACTTTTCAAATGAATAGATCTTAGGAAAAATATGAAAGAGAAATAAAGCATTTTTTAAAAATTATTATTGAAAAGGCAGAGCGACAGAGGGGTAGGTGGAAGAGCCAAACGGTCACAAAAGCCAAAGCAGAGCCGATGTGCAGCCGGCATCCAGAAGCATCCTGCAGGTAGGTCTCCCTGAGAAAGGAGCAGGGATGGCTCGAGACCTTCAGCCCCTGCACGCACGTGGGAGGCTCGGATGCAGCTCCTGGCTTGGACCACTCAGCTTTAGCCATGATAATTATAATAATAATAATAATAAACCAGTAGATGAGAAATTGCTCTGTCTCTGGTTCAAGTAACTTTTTTATATAAAAATGATTATGCTTCAGCTTACACTGACTGCTTGTTGAAGGAACAACCCTATTTTAAAACAGTGTGGAGTCTTGTGAAATCTAACAGAGTGCTTGAAAAAAAAATCTGCTGAAAAATTGAGTTTACAGTGTTTCATTTAGTCCCAAAAGAGTCGGGGTATAAGAAGCAAAATATTTTTCTCAATACATAGAAAATGTGTTATGACACAAAATCCATGGATTTCTAAAGTTTTTAACTCTCTGTGCCCATGCACCTTTGGCTATGCCCTTGTGTTACCGGTGTGGTCTGGCTTGTTCAGCATTCCTTCTCTCATCTACTAGACTGGACCACGACCATGAACTTCACCCAAGTTTCCCAATGATAGCATAGCAGGTACCAACGCTCACCGCAGGCTGTCTGCAGCAGCAGGTTCCCAATCAACAGCTGATACGGACAACAACAAGATTAGAAAAAATTCTTCATCATCAGCAGGCAACCTCAAAAAGTAATTATCGGGGGAGCGGGGAACCGCGGAAGACAAAAGCTCACCCAGCTGACTTCCACCGGACTCTGTCTAGCCGTAGCCTGCAAGCAAGAGTCCTGACTTCACCAAGAAGGAGAAAACCCCCATGTGGAACACCCCGGTAGGTGACCGTGAGTGAAGTCGCTCTCCTGTGGACAGCTTCACTATTCACGGTGATGGAATGTGTGTTTGGGGAATGGGGGCAGGGCACAGCCTGGCACTTTGCCAGGTGCACAAGAGCATCCTGCTCCCATGTTCTCCAAAGAACCCTCTCCAAGTGCCAGGGATTCCTGGGGCATCAGGAGGACCTCTGAACACCTCGCTCCTGCTGCTGTTTCTCTTTAGAGCAGCTGTTGACATTTTAAGGAGGAGCTGACCTGGCTGGAGGTGGGGAGGAGCGGAAGGAAGCCGGACAGCTCAGAACTGACCCACGAACTCAGTGCTCTGCTGACAGGACAGCCGCAGCGACCTTCCGCTGCCAGCTCAGGCCCGTCGAGGGTCCCTTTCCTGTAGCTCTCCAACCCGTGGAAGGGGCCGAGCCTGTGCGCATGTCTCAGCCAATCACCATTAGCATCCACCCGCGCACCTGCAGTCCCACCTGGCTTGCTCCTGCAGCTGTGAGAATGTGAAATGTTCTGAGTCCGCCTACCCGCAACCCCGACCCCGCACCCTCCACTCCACCGTGAAGCTGTACCTTTCTTGGGTCTGGGGGTCCCGGACGAGGCCTCCTTTCTCTCTAGTGCCTCTTCCCTCTCTTTCCACCGCCGGATCTGTTCCTCGCGCATCTTGAAGAATAGGATCTGCTTCTGCTCCTCGCTCAGCTCCGCCAGCAGGTCTGGATCGATGTACATGTCCGCTAGGATCTGCTTCAGCATCTTGGCCGTCCGGGAGCCTTTTTACAAAACCGAGAGCCAACGCGTCTGCCTCCACCTGGGCTCCCACCCTTGGCTACACCTGCCGAGACTCGCAGAGACGCACACAGCCGCGCAGACTGCGGATGGGGCACTCCGTTCAACAAGCAGGCTCCTGGGCCTCGACGCCAAACATCCCACGGAAAGTGCTGCTCGCCAAACCTGCGGAGAGCAGCGAGAGCCCCAAATCAGACAGCATGAAACCGTGTGGACCCTGGGCAATGGCAGGCCACTCGATAAACCTGGGCAGAAAACAAAAAAGGATCACTTTTCACTTTCCAGGGTGGGGAGGAACCAAGAAGAAAACCCCAGGCAAGAGTCTGTGCAGCCACTATCCCGTCAAAACAAAAACAAAACGTCAGCCTTTTACAGGTCACTGTTAAAGAAACTCAAAAAAGCACGCAGGCTTACCCTTCTCCCGACCATGCCAATATATTATTAGCTCAGAGCCTGACAAACCACCAACTGTATGGCTGAAAAAAGAATTATAGGAGGGGGAAAAGAGGTCACAGGCAGAAATTAAAAGGCTCTTTCCACACAACCTATTTCCTACGAAAATACCATGTTGCAGATTTCACACTCATTCCCAATTGGAACAGAGCCACGCTCAAGAGACCAGGAAGAAGGAATAAAAAGGAGACCACAGTGAGATTGTTTGGCAAGTTCCTTCCTGAGGGGCACTCCACAAACACCAAGAGGCATCGAGCCACTGCCATTTCCAGATGACCTGCAAAGGGCCAGGAAAAGACAGCAGACACGGCCAAGAATACCCCGGCCCCTCCTGGGAGGTCGTTGGTTGGGACACACCTGCCCCAGACACCCTCAGAGCTGGCCCACCTGGAAATGCAGAGGTCAGGTCCCTCCACTGGACCCTTGACTGATAAGGTGCATCGGAATGGGGTCTGTAAAAAGAGGCCATGAGGGACCTGCACTGTGTCATAGTAGGTTAAGCTTCCGCCTGCAGTGTCAGCATCCCAAAGGGTGCCAATTCTAGTCCTGGGTACCCCACTGCCCATCCAGTTCCCTGACAAATCTCTGTCTTTCCTTCTCTCTGTAAACTCTTTAAAAAATAAACAAATCTTTAAAAACTATCTATGCTAAAAAAAAATGATAAATCTACACACAGAAATCTCTGGCCATCTAGGATCTGTCCTATCATTGGCCAATCCCCTGTGATGGAAAGCCCAGAGATGTGGGGCTGCTACTTCTGTTGCCATTTTGAATGGGTCAAGTTCCATCACATGGGTGGTATTCGCTCATTCCCGCTACACGCACACACACACACACACACACACACACACACACACACACCCCTGAGCCTCCTGACAGCAGAGTCTAAGGTCCCAGGCACTGCTTTGGGCTCCCTTCAGGCTGTCACTTCAGCTGCCCACGAGCCCATCATCCACGCCCTCTCCGAGAGCCAGCTGGAGCACAGCTCACAAGCTGGGCAGTCAAGTCTACCTCCTGGTGGTCCCCACAACACGGAAGCCTTGTCTGTGGGTTCACTACAGCACACTGGGAGGACAGCATCAGGGGTGGCATTACTGAAAGAAGACCTGCAGCAAAGGGGAATGTCACCCTCAAGGCGCCTAAGATGGAGATGTCTGGGGTGCGAGGAGGGGAAGGGGCAGCCTGATGGACTGCAGAGGTTGCTGAGGAGGGCAAGTTGGAAACACGTCCCAGCCTCAGGAGAGAACAGTGAGGAACCAGCTGTCACCATTGGGCATCTGTGATGGGGGACATGCACCTGCTTGCTTACTCATCAGGCACCAGACCCCGTATGGGTCCTTACACACACACAGGGAGCCACACGGGTGCAGTCCTTCATGGGTGGGAAGGGTGCGAGGACTTGAACTCTTTCCACTTCAGCGGGCTTTTGCTTTGCCGAGCAGGAGGCCAGCCTAAGGCGAGGCACTGGCAGAGGTTAAGCTCCTGGGCTCACCCTGGTGTGAAATGGCTTCTCCCAACCCTGTGCCAGCTTCGAAGCCCCTGCAGAAACCCCAGCAGGGGCTCCCAGCCCTCTTCTCACAACCACTCGGAGCTGCCGCTTTGCTTCCGAGGTCTCAGTTTTCTCCTCTGGGGAATGGGGCCAGCTCAGTCTGCGATCTAGCGTAACATTACAAAGGCAGGGGGAGCCACGGGAGAGGAAACAGAAAGGAGAAACCAACCCAGCAGGGTTTTTCCCACTTTCACTGCCTGACCGGGCGGTCATTGCCAAGTCCGATCCCATCCACCCCTGACTGGTTTTTCCTTGTATGAGAGACGCTGAACTTGCCGCCAGTTGGAATCGCCTAAAACAAAACCCTCATTCAGGTCACTTGGTTCTCTAAGGAGAAAGAGCAAGCCAGAAGCCCACACCTTCTTACTAATTCCCAAAACCAATTTCCACAGGGTCACGGGGTCAGCCGTGTCTTCCTGGAACCGTTGACCTGCCTTTTCGCATTCTCTCCACTCACTGCTCTGCGTTAGGACTTCATGACTCAGACCTAAACAAACAAACCAAAAAAAAAAAAAAAAAAGTTCACCATCCAGCCTACATGGTGTGGACAACCTAACTTACTGGTTGAATTCCGGCTGTTTCCAAACAGCCAGCTCTACTTTCAGACCCTGAATCATCTTATTCATCCACCTGCACAGGGCTCACCAGGAAGATAAAGGGCAGAGCCTGAGACGCCAACAAGCAGGTGAATTCTGCGAACATCTGCCAGTCTTCAGAAATCTGAAATCACTGGACACATGACCAACCCACAAAATTCCACCACTACGGCCACCCTGGGCTTTGGAAGTCGGTGCAAACGCAGAAACAGCAACAAAAAGCAGACCCGAGCCACTGCTATCCAACAAGCAGCTAAAGGGGGGAGCTGGGGCCCAACGGGGTGCAGGCTGCTTCTGGGATACCCCTGGGAAGGCGGTGACCCTCGCAAGAAAACCGACACAGAGAGTCCCACGTAGCTGGGGAGAGGCTCGCTAACCCTCTCTGGCCAAGGTCTGGGCGACCCCACCGGAGAGTGCCCGGGACCAGGTGCGCGCAGGAGCTCCCTAAGGCCCTGTCCCCCGCCCCCGCGCGGATGCTGGGCACCCCCACAGAGTTCAGAAACTCCAGAACATGGGACACACGGACTCCCGGGGGACTCCCGCGTGCCCTCAGAAGTCCCCTCCAACTCGGGGCACCAGGGGCTGACGCTAACTCGGCTGGCGGCTCTGTCAGACACCGGATACCCGACACCCAACACCGCTGCTCTCCTGGCCGCACTGGCCAGGTCGGCCCCAGCACCTGGGCCCACGGAGCGCGGAGAGGCCAAGGGGGCGCAGGGCGGCCCGGGACCAGGCCCTGAGCACAGGCGCACCCTCGGGTCCTGTCCCCGTCTTCCGGCCGCTTCCCCACCCGGGATTCCTCGCTCCTCCCCGGCACCTACCTGTGCACAGTTCTGACCGTGCCTGCAGAACAACCCAAACGCATCGGCCAGGTCGAGCTGGAGCGTCAGGGGCTTGTCGGGGCGGCCCGGGGACGGAGCGGCGCGGGCTGTCGGGACACACACACTCTGGAGTCCGGGCCAGCGCGCAGTTCCCGCCCCGCGCCGCCGCGCCCACAGGCCGGTGACTGACGGCCGCCGCCCCACCCGCGCCCGCAGACGCTGGGGACGGCCGGACAGCGCGCCTGGGACTCGGCCGCGGGACTTCTGGGGCGCGGGGCTTGCAGGGGGGCGAGGGCGGACCCTTGACGGGGTGCACCCCCGAGTCCCTCGCGCCCTGCCCCTCTCCCCTCCTCTCCTGTATTCGTTCTGTTCGCCTCCCAGAGTAAACCCAGCTCCGGAAACTTGTCTGGAGAGGTGCGGCCTCTGCGGAGTCTGGAAGAGAGGCCAGAAGGTCAACCGCGATAGGAGCTCAGGACGGAAGAAAAAAAAAAACCCAGGAGGAAGGATGGGAGCTGGGTGAATCACAGGTGGTGCAGGTACCAGGAAATTACGGAGGTTGGGGGGGACTGCTTGGAGGGCCAGAGCAGTATGCAGCAGAACTGCTGCCTCCATGGGGTCCCCGTGGTAGGGGTGGTCCACACAGCCTGGAGAGGCAACTGTCCTGCTGGGCTCGATCCTATTTCCCCATCCCCTGAACTGCACAGCTTCTGCAAGACTGGAGCCACAGGTTAGGAGTGAACCTGGACCAAGTCAGGAAACAGCACCTTTTAGGCGTTTAGCAACATTTCTAGGGGATCCCATTGTGGCAATTCTTGTTCAATGTTGCGTTCTCACTGCCATTAGAATGAACAGCCCCTGGGTTCTTTAAGCTGTTGTGAGATAACACCATAGCCTTATTAATAGCTATGAGCCTAACCCCAGCCCTAACACACTATTCTTAACCCCAGCAATATCAGTAGCCCTCATCTTAAGCCTAAATCACTGTTAGCCTTATTCCCAGCACTAAACCTAACACTAAGCTTCACCTAGCTGTAACAATAACCCTAGCGTTAACTCTAACTGTAACCATAGCTTTATTCGTAGTGAAAACAACCAAACAAAACCCATACTCGTGGAAGAGCTGGTGTGCGCGAAGGCAGTTCCATGAGAACCACCCCCTTGCAGCTTGCTCTGAGCTAAGTGCCCTCGGCTTCATGGCTGTCCTCGTCCTTCTCCTCTTCATCAGTCACCACATCTTTGCTCAAGGACAAGTCACCTGAGGGAGAGGAGGGGTCGCACGGGGAGTGAGGTCAGCATCGTTTCTTGGCTCACCTGAGGCAGCTTCAGGCGTCACGCAAGAGAAGTTTGAGGTCACGCCTTCCTCTCCGAGGCTGCGATGGCCTTTAGAGAATTGCTTGCTCTCTTTCCCAATGATCTCCTTCCTAACCAAGTACAGTTTTGTCCAGAATAGAAGGAAGTGAGGTAGGGGACAGCTGAAGGAACAGGGAAGGTTTATCCTGTACAAAGAGTAAAAGTGGGGCATGACAGAGCACCTGCAAATACCTGCAGGACCCTCGTGTGGGTGTACCTTAGTCTAGTTTAAATGCAGGGACTCCTTTGAACAAAGTGAGATGATGCAGACTGGAGACCAGCTATTGTTCCTCAAGCCTTTCTCTTCGTCTCAGTGTAGTCA